GAAAGGGGGAGAGAACAAGAAGGAACAGGAGAAACAAATGGAGAGAACTATGGAGAGAAGCAGGACTGAGAGGTTCCCCTTCTGGCATTCCGACTCTGCATGAGCACATGAAGAGCAGAAGCTGCCCCTTCTGTTGTCATGTTCATTGCCTTCTGCCTGTGGAGGCCACTTTCTGAAAGGGAGGGTTGGAAAAATCAGTGGTTGCAACAGCGTGGAGAATCTCCATGGATACAAGAGCTTCTCCTTTTCAGAAAGCTGCCCTCAGCAACATCAGGGTGAGAAAAGCAGAGACTCTGTACAAAATAAGAATGGCTGAATAACAGTGAGGTGTCAGATGTTGCTCACAATTCCATGGTGAAGGCATGCTTGGAACCTAGTTTTTGTATTGTCCAATCTTGGGCCAAAGGACTGACAAAGGAACAATGGAAACCATCTAATATATATTAACCAGCTTATTCTTACAGTTTTCTCCTGGTCTTCAAAGGCTTCTCTTGCTTCTTCTTTCGAGCATTTTTCCTCATAACACTCCCTTTCAATATTTCCTTTTTTAAATTCTTCAAAGACTGAATTGGCTCTCCTCATTCTTTTTAAAAATGTGCTTGCATGTTTACCTGATAAGAATACTAATACAGAATAAAAAAGGGAAAAAAGTCATATGGACGTTTCATTATTGTTCACACCATTAGCTCAGTGAACAATTAAGTAATGAATAAGGTCACAACCATTGGCATACTAAGTCAGAAAATAATCCTAGAGCTCCCAGCATTCCCCAGCCAAAGTTTGGACTTTTTTTCTTTCCAACCATGCATAACGTTGCATCCTAAATGTCTTTAGGAGGTCCTGGTGCACATGATGCGTTTGTTACATGCTGGGGCCATGCACTGACTGCAAGATTCCATTCAGATCACAACCTCATGAGCAGGAACACTGCATGAATCTACCAGGACTAATATGGAAACTGCCTAATTCAATTTGGGAGCAGAATCCAGAACTCCCATTGACAATAACTAGAGATCCACAACATTTATAACTTTTTGCTGTTTGACAGAATTAGATCAAATCTGTCACTGTTTAATTCATGTGATATGCTTGCATTCTGAAAAAGTGTGCTTACTACCAAGGAGTTAAAGAAACCTGTTTCACTTCATGCATGCATTTCTTCTGCTGTCCTTCATTATTCCATTATTATTCTCCCTCCACCCATCTTTTTAACGTTTTCTTCTTTCAAAAAATCAAGTTGCCATATTATTTATTTATTTATTTAAAACATTTTTATGCCGCCCCCATCGCAACGAAGCCTCGGGGCGGCTCACAACAGAAGCAAAATACATAAATACATAAATAATAACAATATAACAATAAAAATATTTAAAACCCCCCAGTGCTGAGTCATCACTAGTGAGTCATCTTCCTGTGATGGAACAGTAGCAACAAGTATTTGTTATTTTCCTACCCCTTTTGAGCGGAACAGAAATATGTGTTTGTGATAAGAAGAGCTCTCGTTCAACTTGTATGTATCAGTTTCCATTTCTCACCCATGGCTGAAAGAGGGAATATTTTCAGCATGTCATCAGATGGAATAGTATTCTTAAGTCCTTTTTCCTTTAGAAACTTGCTGCCCTCAGTTTTCTAGAAACTGCCTATTTAGTGTACTGTAATAAGAACTAATTTACATACTGTGTACAGGCATCAGTATTTTATCTTAAATGTCTTATTTTAAAATTACTTACATTTAGGGAGCTTTTATAATTTTATGCTTCATTTGACTAATTTATATTGTAAGCAGTCTTTGTCAAGACCTTGAAGAAATATACTAAATAAAAATGCAGTAAATGCTGACAAGCCTCTCAATAAAGTAGGAGCCTAATATAATCCTAACGTGACCCTTGCTCCCTTCACAAGGCATATTTCTTGTGAAAAGACAGAGAAAAGAGAAATCCATTTCACAGAGAGAGGCAGAAGGATCAAGCCCACCTTACCATTTCTTTCTGACAGCAGGAGACACAGCATAGAAGCGAAGATCAGAATGCGGAGTAGCTGGTGAGCCATGATGTCTATCGATGCAAAGCAACGCTCTGTTCTCCTTCAGGGTTAGCCGTGAACAAGGTTCAAGCAACACACTTCCTGTTGCTGCGCTGCAGCTCTTATCATGCACAACCAATGTGTTTGTGTTTGGATGTGAATTCTTCAAATTATTGTGCTGACTGATTGGACATCCTGGTCTTGTCCAAGTAAGGTCATAGAGTCTATAGTAGATGAAAAGCACGTGGTGGGTTTGATGCCTCCAAAGCAAGCTTCCCCTGCTGTTTGCCTCAGATATTTGGGCATAAAAGAATTCTATGAAAAGCTTTGCATTCCTTTTCCTTTGCAGGAATAACCACTCCCCCTTAGTGTTCTGCACAAGGAAATTCAAAGACACCCTACTGACATCTTTAATGATGTCCTAATAAATTTTGCACCTAGCCTCCCAAAAATATTTTGCTTTGGGTGTGTCACTGCAGTTTCTGAACCAGAAAATAAGAAAAATCATTCACTTTCCATTCAACTGGTTCCTCTTACAGTGCTGAACTCCACAACTATACATAAGGGGGTAAAAATAATTTTAAAATAGAAGATAGGGTGGGCATAACTGAGAATACATTGCATGTTTTGGGTAGCAGATAATCATAATTTGGCTCACATCCTGAGGATAGGATATAGCAGCCTCCTCTATGGGATGTGTTGGACTGAAGCATGGCCAATAGCTTCCCCAGGTATCTCGAGGTTGGGCTATAATAGGTATATCTGGGCCTGCCAGAGGCAGAACTGGACTCAACTATTTTAGGAGAGAGTGTCATCATTTCCCATTTCCCAGAGAGAAATGGAGACATTTTATCAACCCAAGAAAATAAAAAGGGTGAATAATAGCAATAAAAGTAGGTGTACTTATTACCATTTACCACGTGTAAGCTGTCTTCAGATGTTTAGTGAAAAGACGGGATAAAAATGTTTTATTAAATTAATTATTAAAATGTGCAAATTCACTGGTGGGCATCTTATCACAGGGAGGAGTTCACAAGCTAGATATTTGCAGTTAAGTTTGGAGCTGATTGCGAGCACTGGAGCAAGCAGATTTTTTTCCCAACCTTATAGTCAATATTCAGTCATTCAATTTACCCTTTTTTATTAGGGTAAATAAAAAATTAACTCAGGGTAAGTTGGCGCATCACTATCCATTTTGTAAACTCCTGTCAAGTCTACCCACTTTCCCTCCCTAAACTAAAAACTCTAAATGCTTTAGTGCAGGTGATGGGGAAACCATGATCTCCCAGATGGCATGATAACATCAAGCCTCATAGTCACTGGCCATTTGCCATATTGGGTTTGGCTGACAGGAGTAGGAAGCAGTCACTGTTTGGAGGGCGTCAGATTTCTCAACCTTATTTTCATGTTCTATGATTACTGTTTCTTGTACCCATCCATGATACCGCCCTGCTTGTTTTTTGTCCATCGTTTTAACAGTTAAACTCCAAGATAAGAAGGAGAAGGAAGCCTGGTACCCATTCGTCTTACCTGCTGGTCCTCCCTTACAAATACTTTCCACTGAATCAACAAATGTGGAGTTTGCCAAATGCAACACCCGAATTCCACCCAGAATGATCATCAGCTTCTCATATACTGAGATCATATACTGTAAAAGGTACTGCTGAACCTTTTATAGTATATGTTTTCACTAAATTCAGTACTGCTAGTTTTAAAATAGCAAAAATTACTTTTTTGTTTGTAACTATAACACACACTGGTAGAAAATTTAAAAGCAAGTTAAAGCTATAATTAGGTAACTCCCATTCCACTCCACTCACAGTGTAACAATAATACTGAAGAATACATTCCTGGAGCATGAATAAAAGGAAGTTTAAATTAATAACATAGTCCTTAATTTATTTAGAATGCTTAAAGAATGCTGAACAGAAAGGTGTGAAAAAGATAATCCCAGATTAGGTATCCATGCGGTTGTTGAGCCAGTCTATGTATTTGTACACTCGTGTGTAAACACCGTAGGTGCCGACTGCTGCACACCCCCTGCCCCAGCTCACAATCCCTGTCAGAAACCAAGTATTCTTGTACTCTGTGGCATGAGGTCCACCACTATCACCTTCACAGGAATCTTTACTCCCATTTAAATACCCCGCACAGAACATGTTCCCTGAGATGGTGAAGTTTGTGTGCTGGACACATTCTTTCGAATGGATCTTGGGGACCCGCACTCGCATAAGTGTTGCTGAAGTGGCCCCACCTTCTATGAGACGCCCCCACCCACTCACGGTGGAGTATTTAACATAGTTCAGGACGTGCTTAGCGAACTCTTGCTCAGGCAAACATATGGGCACCACATAATCTGTGAAGTTCATTGGGGTCACTAAGTGCAGCAAGGCTATGTCATTGTCAACTTTTTTGGCAGAATAGTTTTCGTGGATGATCATTTTATCAACCCTGCTTTCTTGTTCTCGTCCTTCTACACGGTTTACCCTGTGGACACCTGAAACGGCAATACATTGTTTAGGTAGCAGACATCGTGTTCCTTAACTCCACAGATCTCAGAGCACAGTACGTCTTTTGGCTCATATGCACGAATGGTAAACCCTGACTAGCTGCTCTGCTACTCAGTTTTCCCCTACCTTGTGACTTCCAGATGAGTTGGACAACAGCTCCCATAAATGCCAGCCCACATAAATGGACTGTATCATGGGAGTTGCAGTCCAACATCTCTGAAAGGTTCAGGAGGGCTGCCTTATATATCTCTTTGGTACACAGTAGGATTTTAAAGTACAGGAAAAAGTTTATCTGTTTCTCCTGCCTTTTACAGCTGCATTCACATTGCCCACTGTAGCTAAAGGAATAAGATGTCTTTACCTCTTTAGAATATAAGGTCTATCTTTTAGGAGGAACTCTTCATGTTGGCACTCTTAACCTAGTTCACAGAAAAAAGGTCCCCTTTTTGTCCATTTGTTATCATGCTTTGGGTGATAGAGGTTTCAGCTGAGTTACATGGAATGCCAGTAAAGCTTCCCACGTAATACTGCTTTTTCATTTATTTAAAGTGTTTATTAACCCCTCTTTCAAAAACACCTTCCAGGAAAACTTGTGACAACTGGCCACACACATGAGTTCAGGTTTGGGTGGGGGGTTACTTACTAAACTGAACCCAAACCCAAAGACTTGTGTTGGTCCAGCACAGAACAGTAAAAGCCTTCTGATACCCATTTTCTCCTCTCCTTAGTCCCAATGAGATTCCAAAAGTGAGCAAAAGATGATACTCACCCAATTTTATCCTGAGTGCTCCTTTGCGGTTTTCATCTAAGCAGTGGGCTGCAGTAACAACCCATGATTCAGCAAGTAGAACACCTCCACATTTTTCCTGCTCACCATCTATGATGATAGCCTAAAAATATATGGCCATTTTTAATATATATTATTGCTCCTCCAGCAAGTCATGGAGGATGGTCTTGCTGATATTATTCATATAATGGAGGAGTGCAGGACCTTATGCCTGGGGACCAAATGCAGTCTTCTGAGTGCTCCAGTCTGGCCTTCCAGGTTCCCTAGCAGATCATACCCCTTTCTCTAGTATCTCCCCTTCCTCCAGCCATGAATTGTTTGGTGGTTATTTGGTCCTTAGCCCCATTTTAAAAGGTTGACATCCCACTCCTATGGCTTAGTTACTGGAAAATATACTGGCATTGGGATTGTTCCTGTCTCTTTTGCCTTTCGCCCTGCATGTTAAAACCCTGCATGCATGTTAAAACCCTGCATTTTAATTTTATATTATGTTTGTAACTCAATGTATTTTTTGTATTTTTGTATTTAATGGTAATTTATTATGTTCTATTGTATTTCAATGTATTTTATTGTGTTGTAAGCCGCCCCGAGGCTTCGGCAAGGGGCGGCATAGAAATGTTATAATGATGATGATGATGATGATGATGATGATGATGATGTCATGAGTGGAGCCAGCTGGAGCCAGGGGTCAGACTAGATGGCCCGGAAGACACCTTCTGACTCATTCAGTTTCTATGGTTCTATGATGGACCCCAAAAGGGGTTCTTTGAAACTGAATAGGATACTTAGGCTGGAAGATATTCTGCCCTTTTGATCTAGTGTGTTCATGTCATGGAATGGTTCAGTGATTTATGTCTTACCTGGCATTTTAATATTCCTTGATTGTAAGCCAACCAGGCCCTGTTATGTTGTAGCTGGCATACAAATGCTATTAATACATAAAGACACTCAATTTTAAAAGAACACTTAAAAGTATTGACAACTAAAATCACTACAGAGTTAGAGCAAGGGTTATAATGAGGAAGGACCATAATGATTAGGGATTGCTTTTTTGTTTAGAAAAAAGATGATTAAAGTATGTGTGTGGGGACTTGATTGTCAAAGAAGTAAATAGGGAAATGTTTCAGCTGAGCTGAATGGATAGCATCTGCCCCATTTTCTGTAGTTCGTGGAACTAGTAAGCAGCTTTTGGTGGGTAACATGCTTTAACTTAGGGAAAGTCACAAGCTAAAACACCCTTTTCCCAGAATACAATATTGTCATTCTCTAAAGCAAAATAAACACTGTTCATCAGTTTTGATTTGGTCTTCATTCACACTTCAAGTATTTGGTTTTGGGTGGAATATACAGGGAAAATGAGCATAACTGTTTCTAATTGTTTATGCATATTCTCCTTCCAGGTTGCCTTCCAGAGTATTCAAATGCAATATTTTACTGCTGATTTTACTCTGATTGTGTGTGCTAGGTTGATTGTTGTACAAGGACCTAATGATATAAGGAATGCTTGTGATCTTTATCTATCTCAGCCTTCCCCAGATGTGCAGGGGATTCTGTATATTTCAGTATTTGACAGTGACACAGGGCCAGTACAAGGAGGTACTTGTAGCAACTCCTTAAACTTGGTGACTTCCTTCTGTTCATGCCCAGCACCTTGCAGAATGTCACTATTTTGAGCATTTGGGGTTCATGGAGGTTGTCCTATTTCTTGTGAAAGCCAGGGATCTGATACAGTCTTCCCCATGCTCTTGCCCTATGCAGAGTATGGATAGAGTTCGAGCCATGTGTGACCATCCAAAATGCTTTGGAAATATTAAGAGAGAAATCTGTATTAAAGTTCATTGAAGACTCACTTGCCATGGGCATTCACCAGGAGGACAAGCATAGCCACCCACGATTCTGCCCTCCAGGGCTGAGGCTTTTTTTGCCAGGATGGGTATCTTCCCACAAGGATAATCAACTGTGAAAACACATAGCTTATTATGCATGAAATACAGTACAAGCCATTAAAGGGGGTTTTATTTTTATCAGAAGCAGAAGAGGTTCTGCAGTAAGCTTCCCAGCATGTTGTCCCCACATCCATTGGACAGCAACTTCCATCACCCATGGCATGCCTATTCTGGCTGGGGATGGTGGGAACTGTAGTCTAATGAAATAGGAGGCATCAGGCTGGGAAAGGCCATTCAAGAGCTTAATAAAGTGCCATCTTTTTGAAGAACAAAATTATACAGCTAGGATATACAGAACAATCCTGTACAAAATTATTCAGCTAATTTTGCTAGGATTAGACAAACATAGTAAAATGAAAGATGCAACTGCTATTCAGAAGAAAAACATTTTGTTGAATGGAGGATTTAAAAAAGCACTTTAACCATAGCTATAAAGGTTTACTGTCATTGTGTTTTAAATAAGTTATTGGATTACTGAAAATTAAGACTTATTCCTGCCTGCCCTCTGGCATCTATTGAAAGAGCATGTGATTTGTTCTTACCTTTTGGGATGCAAGATACATTATTGTCTCCAAGCCTGTATCCCTCTGCACAAAAACACCGCCGTGCTATTGAAGTATCTACACAATACTGCTCACAATTGCCATTTTCATAATCACACTTCAGTGTGGTTTCTGGACCTAAAGATAGGAAAAGACCGTGTGGACCAACCCAATTTTGTTGGGCAAATGCCTTGCACTACTGAATGCCTTATTTGCAACAACACAGGGAAGCAAACATAATGTGAAACTAAGGTTCTAAAATAGGGGTTTAAATGGATTTGTCTCCCATTCATACTTAAAGTCAAGTAGTTAAGGTTCACTGGTTTCAGTACTTCTGTCTACATGTAGTCACTACTTTTACTACCACTGAACTGGAAGCTAGAGGGACTGCAGCAGCATAAAAGAGGATTTGTACTCCTACTGTTGTGTTGGTACTGCTTGTGCTATCCTGACAGATCTTGGCTTAGCAGCAATTTAGATAGGGATCTTCTGCATCACAAACCATAGAAGTGTGCTCAACTCTCAGAATCCTGTATTTGAAATGCTTAACGTTTTGTATATATCTACAGCTCTCTTTTTTGTTACTTAATTAAAGGCATGGTCATTTTGTCTATCCCACCCCTCCCAGTTGTGACCCTCAACTAGTAAGAAGGTCCTTTTGGTGTCAGTGGAAAGTGTTTGTTTTACTTATCCTCAAAGCTGTGTGTGCATGTGCAGTGCGCGCATGTGTGCACATGAAAAAAATTTCAAGGACAGCAGCAGGAAGGGTAAAGGATAAACTTCTCCTCCCCACGTACTGTAGCCCAGTAACCATTACCTACTCCATGCTTGTCTTTAAGGATAAAAATGTGATGTAGCTGCACAATGCAGTAAGCATAAGTTGTTGGCCCTAGTGTTGCTAGAAGAGTGGTTGTTATGTGTCATCAAGTCATCTCTGACGAATGAAAGCCCCCCAGAATGTCCTGCACTTTGTTGTAGCTGGGTGCCATTGGTCAAAGCTGCACATTAGCTTTGTTTCTTGACATATAGATATTTGTATATAAATATATATTCTCAGTGCCCTCAAGCATGAGAACCAAAGAAAGTCATGTTTTTTCCAAAATTGTTGCCAGAATCCCTGACAATGAATATAATTTAAAAGTTAATTTTAACTTTTAAACACTTAAAAGTTATTAAAATATTATTAAAACTAGCCAATGTTATTAAAATTAGTCATTTCATACCTGTTTCACAGTTTTTGCCTTCATACTCCATGGGGCACATGCAAATGTATGTTTGGTACTGGTCTATACACGTCCCACCATTCTTGCAAGGGTTGGAATCGCACTGATTAGGGTCTGTAGAATCAAACACTCAGCATCATCAAAAGTTTAAGACCAATAGTAAACTTTGTTGAATTGTGCTATTATAAATCCCCTTACCTGTGTATGTTGTCCAGAAATCCATCTGAGCAGAAAGAGACAGGTTGTAGACAAAGAAGGAGCACAAATTAATACCTTCTTACAAATAAAATAGTGTGTTCACAAGCCTTCCACAACATGATGTTTAGGACAACCACCTTCACCATCCCTGACCAATGGCCATGGTAAAACTTGCTGTTCAACTCAAGGTATTCAGACTGAGACAAGCTGGTTTTGATTTTTTTTTTTTTTAATGGGAGAGGGTTATGAAAACAAACCTCAGTCTCCTAGACCTATCAGATCATAGCATTAGGACCAGAGAGATGTCTAACACAACTTCCTGCACTAAAGCAAAAGTGGTACCAGAAAATAGATGGGACACCTGACTGCTGCCGAAATATACAATTGGTTCTCTCCCTCTCTCTCTGCTGGTAATATGTTGCAAGAGAAATTGTGCAATGTGATGTCACAGCACTGAGAGTTTCCCTGCCTCCACTTGAGCAAATTTGTATTGGAAGTTTATTATCAGTATACTATACCAGTGAAGACAGAGTGAGAAGAAATGAATTTGCTACTCTCCATGAAGCCACACACCTCAAGATGTTCAGAAATTCTTGGGACAGCCACCTGGTTCAGATGGAATACCAAACCATGGCTGATATTTGCTCCTACGTCTATACTTGTCTGGCAACAAACTCAAGCTTGCTGTCTTTTAGTTATTTTTGTATTTATTATTAATATTTATATTCTATCTTATTTACTAAAAAGCCATCAACATCAGAACTGGAAAACACTAGCTTATGCTTCCCCTGCAAGACAGAATTTGTGTACCAGAATCATACTGGCACACTAATTTGTGCTTGAAACACGGGCTTGCAATTTTGGCTGGGAGGGCAAGAACAAACCATGGTTTTCTGGTTTGGACAGAATGGGAAACTATGGGTTGATGCAAATTGGAGGAAATCAGACCAAAAAGATTTGGAAGGGAACTGATGAATCCCATCCTTTTCCATGTGCTGCCAAACCATGTGAACATAGACTTTTCTTGCATTAAGGATCTTGCTTAAAACATTAATGCTATTATTGACAGCATTAACAGATTTTAAGTTTATTTTCATTATTATGACATTTATACCCAACTATTTTTTTCCTTCTGCAAGGCAGCTTATCTGATTCCCCTTGCCATTTTATCTTAACCATAGTCTTGTGAACTAGGTCAGGCTTAGAGTCCAGGCTTAGACTGACCTAAAGTCACTGGATGAGTTTCATGACCCAGTGGGGGCTTGAACTGGATCTCCAGATTTCCAGTTCCACAGTTTAACCACTATACCACATTGACAATGTACTTCCTTGTAAGTAACCTTTACGGAATTGTGGGATGATCTCAGAGCAGAGAGCAATTGAAGCTATATGAAAACAGCTAAGATATCAGTCTTTACTGATCTTGAATGTTGTCTTTATAGTTCTCCTTGGAATCCTTTCCAGCTTGGTCACGTTTTCAGTTTTAGCCTATTGGCGGAAGCTTACATGGCAGAATAAGGTTCTAAACAAACAAATCCCTATGCACAAAACAAAAACTAAGCAATCATGTCAGGAACATCCTAGAATGCTTCTCTCTGGGATCCTGTTTTTCTACATGTACAGGTCTGTCTGTTGTTTTACTTGAGAACCGATCAGGTACGTGAACCTATACCTTGTATCTGAAAAGGTGTGGCCCAGAAATAAGTTTACCAGATCATCTGCCATTTGTGAGAACTGGGACTTTACAGCCATTTTTCTTGGTCTGTATTGCTCATACCAGGACATATATTCTAGATGAAAACACCTCAAGTAACCAGCATTTCTTGTCCTATTAATTTCCATGGATTGGTTAAAATAATCCTGTTTTGCACCACATTGCCATTCAATTACGGCAAGTGAAGTACAGCCTTTTTGAATCTCCATATTTGTTTGCCGCCAAATTCTGACAGCACAACACTCTGGGAAGTCCAGAAGCTGGGAACTGGTTCCTGGGTCACCCAAAGTTGCCCACTCTTGCTATTTACTCATGCCTAGTTTCTTACCAACTTTTACACCTCATTTAGGTTGGCAGATGCCACTGAACTTAGAAGGTGCTTTTAAGAAAGAACAGGCCAAAAGAAGGCTGTTCTCCACCCTGCTCTACATCTCTTACCGTCCTTTTGTCATCTCTGAAGATTTCTCTTGCTTCTTCGAAAGAACATTTCTCTTCCAGGCATTCTCGCTCCAGTGATGGGGCTTTAAGCTCTTCGAGGAAGGAATTGCTTCTTTTATTCCTTTGCAGTACACTGCTTGCTTCCTTGTGCTCTAAGAAGACTTTAAAAACAAAATCAGAAGCCACTGACTGGCAACATCCATCAGACATAGTTATAAACTGAGGAAAGCAGGAAACAGAAAAGAACTGACATAACATTATTTTGTGCACACTTTGGGAAGTGGTGAGAAGCTGTGAACTTATATACATTGCTCCAGTGTTGCTCAGTTCTTTGTTGCCCAGCTGTTGTTTCTCAGCACCGCTCTCCTTTCATTTACCCTCACCTGACAATCACCTGTACCCTCACCAGTACAGGAATTGTAGGACAATGTTTCTGACTGAACATGTATAGGATTGTGGCTTAAATGACAGTGAGGGAAACTGCGGCTGAGGAAGGTGAAGCTGAAGTTGAATGTCAATATTGAGGAATATTTGGTGTAGCACAGCCACTGTGGAGGCTCTGCTCTTTCAAAAGTCATGCTTTGGTGTTCAAGAATTGTGTCACAGGGCATAAAATCAATAGCCTGGGTTCAAAGAATTTGCATGAGCCCAAGAATTTTTTTTCTTCAAGTAGCAGTTCCTGTCTACCCCATATGGCCAAATTATGCTCAGTCTTTCTGCTCGGTTCAAAGTTCAAAGGGTTCAAACAGTGCTGGGAACTGTTGGAGGAACTTGAAGTCTGATCTCCCTGGATTCACTGAACTGTCTTCTCTTCTTGGTACCCTAGACATTCTAAATGAAAAGGCATGTGAGAACATTCCATGAAGGTGCTCAATTCCATCCCCTGCCCCCGCCCCCATCTGCCTTGTTCAATCTTTGGTCCTCACCCAGAGCATGACTCTCTTCTTTGACCTTGATTCTAAGAGCAACAGGCTTTGGTGAGGTTATTTGTATTTTTGGGATAAACAGGCCCAAGGCAAAGAAAGCACGCTTTTAAAGCCAATAGTATTTCTCATAAATAGTTGCTTCTATAAAGACATATTATTTTTGTTCTACTGCATTCAGATAGCTTAGTTTGTAATTAAAATCTACTTTAGATTAAACAAAAATATACTGAATAGTTAGGTTGTTTCATTTTGTCTACCTTATGTCACCTTTTATCCTCACAATAAAGAAACATTTAAAATACTTTCCAGCAACTTCAGGAGTATCACAAATGATCAGTTGGCATCAACTAAAGTCTATGATTGTTAATGGGATAATCTTTCTACAGCAAGGCCTTAATTCACTCATTGATCAAATGGGACGATTTACATGTCTTATTCATTTCTGGAATGCAAAGAATCACTACTGTGGATGCATACATTTATGATACCTACTGTTCAGTTTTGTCAATGAATGCTAAACATTTTATCACACATAGGATTTCCTAGGGGAAGTAATTTTAAAAGTAATGATGAAATTTTCTGAATATTTAAATATAGCAATATAATATAATTCTGAATATTTAAATATTAAATATTGGTATAATATAGTTATGTGTCTCAATTAAGTCTCAGTTAAGAAAGCAACCAAAATATAGAAAACTGCCTCTGAACAATAATTGAGCATAGTGTTTTAGATATGGTCAAATTTGCTAACATTTTGATCTCATAGTCTAGAACCTGATAGTTGGTTTGTTTATGATTAAATCATTAAGGTAAGCAAATGAACCTCACCCTACAAAAGTTTGATTTTAGAAAATTTTAGAAGGGTGCAATGATTTCTTGGAATTGCTGTATACTTTCAATAAAAAAGAAAACAATTACTATTAACAAAATCAAACATGTTAAGATTATATACTAGTGCAGTTCTATGAATCATACCTGCAGCCAGCGAAAGAGGATATAGAAGCAAAAGACAGAAAAACAGAAGCGTGTAGTTACAGGAAACCATGATGAAACCAAAATGCTGTGTCCGAAGTGTGTACAGATATTTCAGCATGAACTCTGTGACCAAAGTTCTCTCTTTTTAATTGCTTCTGTTGGAGGAGGAGTGCAGTTATACTCAGAAAGAAAAAACTGAAAACATAATACAACCATACCTAATGACCAAGTTGGTACAATAGACAGAATGTTGGATTTTGGGAGAGATCAGGGATGAAAGCCTTCTAAGATATGAATCTGCTTCCGCCGCCGCTGCCGCCACCACCACCACCATCCCTTTCTACATAATAACGGCAGCTAACAATAACAAGAAAGCACAATAAAACAATGAAAAGCACATCGCATATATACAGGAGCAGATAAAAATGTAAGGGAAACCTAAGATAAATAGCAGATGAAAACAATCAAAATCGGAAGAATAAAAATGGCAATACAGCAGCCACTTAAAGGGTGAAATCCAGGAAAGCCTTTGCCCATGGAAGGTGCCTCCACCCAAGTTTTGAGGATCACTCCTTCCTCCACACCACAGCTCACCTCATTCAGCATTTTCAGGGGCTGCCATGGGAAGAAACAGGTGGGGAAGTCCACTTTTGCCAGTGTTAACTGATCAGTTTAAATTGAGTTACAAACTGTTTTTTCTTGAGCAGTAAAAGTGACAGATTAACTCAAACAAGTCTTTCCTTAATGATGAAAGGACTACAGTTTGTTAAAGCCAAGTCTTAAGAAGGAATTCCAAAGCAGCAGCTCCACCATGGAAAAGATCTCTTCACTGCCAAGCAGAATTCAAATATTGACTGTCCTGAGAATGGCTTATACAGACTCAGCCTAATCTACCTCACAGGGTTGTGAAGAAAAGTATTTAATTGCCACGCACAACCTGAATGGTGGGAGACAAATGTTAATAACAGTAATTGTTATCTATGCTAAAGCAGCTCCCTATTAATGATGGGTGTGTTAATTTGGGAATATGACTTGCCAAGAAGTAACCTTGGGTCACCTCGCAACACAGATGCATAGTGGAATTCTCAGCTGGCTACTTTCCCTCTTCTCTCTTTGTGCCACAGGCACAATGCCCTCCAGTTCCAGTCTGAACTAGAAACAACAGTGGAATACATTGCATGGTGTTTTGTCTCTACTTATTTTATTGTACTTTTTCTTTGGCAGATTCCATCCATCTCCTGTGGCAAAAATCTCAGGGCATGCTTACTCGGTCATTTTCCCCATGTTGGTGCGGTAGGTTAAGGCTGAGAAAACAGATAACCTGACATAGTCACGAGAGGACCCACAAGTGCATCAACCCCCAATCTTGCCACCTGTGCCCTGGGCCTTTAGAACTGTCCCAGTTGATATTATGTGCCTTTAAACAAGCCTGCTTTCCCCCTCCAAATTTAGGAGCCCTGTGGTTACTAGACCTAAGGACTTATTCCCTTAGCAGACTGATAGGGAATGAAGTACGAAGGCAGAAGCTTTAGAAGGGAAAGTGCCATCTTTCATACCAAAGTCTGCTCATCATCATAAGTTCAGAGTCCAAAACTGCCCAACAGCACCACTGCCACCCCAGTGCGCGACTGCAGAGAAGTTCCCTACTCATTGTTAGTGGACCATTGCACTTACATATGTCTCAGAGTTAATACAAAGTATAGATATACAATAATATACACAGTTACTATTGTGGGCAAATCTATACTGCCTTCCCATGGTTTTTCCAGCTCTTAAAGCGTTAGAAGTTCCTTGACTGAAGGGAACAAGAACAAGAAAGCAAGATAAATCGAGAAACAATTGTGTACGGATTTATCCAGGGCAACCATAACTTTTCCACTCAAACAGTAACTTTTGAGTCAGGACTTTTAATAAGATGCAAGTTTGCAAATTAAGTGCAGGCAAGTGAGATGTGCAATAAGTCCTCACCCAAGCAGGACTTCCCCTTTTGTGGCAGAGCCTTCCATCTGTGGCTAGCTGCCAACCTTGAATCTGAACAGTTTGTAACTATATGGCAGGAAGGAGATGGTTCCAGGGAATGGGAAGGTGCCCTTTTCCTTTCATGAGGAGGGAACTTGTGGTGCATAAAGGGGAGGCTTTCTTTCTTGACACCTGTGCCCTTATCCTAATGGACCCTTCATGATACTAATGTGATATTATCAGGCAGACTCTGATAACTTTTCAGTACTTGCAAGAAATATTTCGGATCAGATGGCAGAGAAAGCATCTGGGATTATGGATGTCAGCTTTCAAAAGGATTTGCTTCTCAGTCTGCTCAGCAATGTAATGGTTGGGAAATAAATGGTGGAGACATTTCCACTTGGGCATCAGCAGAGGGGCTGTCTCTAGTAAAGTTTTGTAAAGATTGGCAGGGGGTTTGGATGGGTGACTTAAATTTATTTATGTATTATTTATGTTGAATGTTGAAATGTTGAAAACCTCCCAGAGAACTTCAGCTATGGATGGTATAATAATGTAATGTGATAACAACAGTAACAACTGGGGACTAGAACCTGCATCTCCCCAGTTCTAGCCCCCACTTAGCCACTACACCACACTATCTTCAAATAGTTCATCAAGTGATTATCCTTAGAGTTCTTCAATCCTACCCTGTAACATCATGAACCAAGCAAGAACCAAAGAGCAATTTCTTGGTATTTGCTAGGTGATTAGCATGTACTGACTGTGTTCTTGACATGAAACACCAGCTAAGATAAAGTTGTACCAGGTAGCATCAACAGATTATGTTTAGATTGTCTGGAGCAAGGAATGTAAGAGCGCTTACAACATTTGTTTATCTTCAAGACTCTGTCTTGCTTTTAAATGCTTTTTGCTTTTAAATGATTTATACTGCTGCCCCTGTGAGAGTTGAAAAAGATATATTTCTCTCTTACCTAGAGCTGTAACTAGGGTGACAGTGACAGAGTATTGTGGGGCTGGGTTGTGGCATCCTTGCCTAACTGCATAATGCAAAATGTGAGGAGAGGACATTCCAGGAAGGAAGGAAGGAAGGAAGGAAGGAAGGAAGGAAGGAAGGAAGGAAGGAAGAGGGACGGAGGGAGGGAGGGAAGCTTGCTGTGGTTAAGAGAGCTGAGAAATGTCCCAGTGGCCCGTTGCTTTTGTCTCACTGAAATTCTTTGGAAATGACAGAAACCTATGCAGCTGCATCTACAATTCTCTTCACCACAACCAGAATGGACACTGTTAGAAATATACATAACTTTGTGAACCAGCCAGAGGTTATTGGTAAATGCATTAATGAAATGAAAGTGTGTATACTGCAGCTACGAAGAAAAGACCTGGGTTTTGTTTGGTTTACAGTGCTGGGGAGAGATGTATCTATTTCCCCCATGGCATTTTCCCATTTCAGCGTCCCATGACAAACTAGTTTTTGATGAGGGGGTGAGGGAGGATGCAGATTAAAAACAAGAGGCCCTGCCTGAACCCTGGGTGGAAGGCAAAGGTGACCCCAGAAGTGGTGGGGAAAATGCCTGCTTGTGTTCCTGAGGAATGGTGGTGCTTCTCATGTCTGTGAGGCAGTCTGAACCAAGCTCAACAGACCAGTGCAATGGCACCAACCACCACCAGATAGCCTGGGCCTAGGGATCTAGGCCCAATCCTAGGCTGGGCTGTTACCAGACCTTGTATGCCACAGGTGGACGGGGGAGATCTACCCCTTATTACAGAAAACTCCCTGTAGACTAAAAAATGTTGGGGAGGTAGAAGAAAGAAATATTGAAAATAAAATCGGAGTCAAACTAACATCTTTCTTCAGCATATGTTATTTGCTGAGCTTCAGTCCTCAGCCTGAACCCTGGAATATTAATACCAGACAGAGCCTTGCCCTGTAAAGTATATATTTTTTTCCTGATGAACAAACAAGTGTAAGTTATTTAGGGTTCTATCAGAGAGGCACGAGAGTTGAAAATTTAAAATCAATCTCAGCCAAAAAAGGTCAGGATGTGTCAAGATAAGCCTGGAGGCAGATGTTTTCAGACTAGAAGTGTAGGTCATGATAACCATGCACAAAAGTAATGGATGTTTTCTGCTGTGATGTTTTCTTTTACTCATCTTTGCAAAAAGCTAAAAGTGTAAATTTGCTGTGGATGATGACAGTGGCAGCTGGTCCCACCTGGAGATGGGCTCACTGTCTGTTGTTAGTGTGCACATACAATAGTCTTTTTTATGAAAAATGACTTGCTGGTCTCTGCCTGTCAACCATGGGGATGGGGCTAACCTAAATGCTCTGGTTATGCTCTACAAAGGATACAAGGATACATACAGGTACCTGCTGTTTGGCATTTCTATTTTCCCCCCAACAATAGTAGCTTTGGGAGGTGAGTGATTTTAATTATTTATTTATTTAAAACTTTTTTTTTTTATACCATCCCATCACAGATGTCTTGGGATGGTTCACAACAACATTAATAAAATAGAATAAAAATAGAAGAGTAATAGTAGCACATCATCCAATGTTAGGTATAAAACCACAAATAAAACAACTTAGCAATTAAAATAAAAAAGTTTTCATCTGGCGGCAAAAGGAAAGAAGCGTTGGCGCCAGGTGAACCTCTCTGGGGAGCATGTTCCACAGTCGGGATGCCACCACGGAGAAGGCCCTCCTCTCGGTAGCCACCCTCCTGATCGCTTTCAAGGAGGGTTCCCGAAGGAGGGCCTCTGCCTCAGATCTCAAGGGGAGGGAGGGCACATAGGAAAGAAGGTACTCCTTCAGGTATCCAGGACCCAAGTCATTTATGGCTTTATAGGTCATCATCAGCCCCTTAAATAGGGCCCAGACTTCAAATGGTAGCCAGTAAGCGATTAATCAGGTCGGGCTGAGGATTACTTCCTCCTCAGCACTGTGGTCCCAAATCCAATCCCACCCACCTCCCCATAGCAAAATATGGGGCGGTCCATGATTAGAACGTTCGAAATTACATCTAATTTACCCCTGACCCAGACCCTGGGGGCAGAAAAGGGTTACTGGGATGTAACTTCTTGCATAATCCTGGAATGGCAAACGGTTGTAAGGACACATAGATCAGCAGCAGTTTTGAACATCCAGAAGTTAAACATCAAGATTATTGGGCTGATGGAAAGTTGTTCAGACCTACTTACACCCTACTTACACCTACTTTACATTCTTTTCATGTCCACCCTGTAGAACCTATTTAAGTAAAACAGAGTTCACCCGGTGGAGGATCTATGAAAGCTATGACTACTACCCTGAACAGACAGCTTGGAATGAAGTGAGCCAACTGAGTAAGACCAATCTCAGGCCCTTTTGCTAGAGATATTAGTCTTGCTTTATTTGTTCTAGCTGCTGGATTGGCAGAATCTCATTTCAGTGGTATTTATCAATTCATTTGAGTACTGTGTACTCAATTCCTGAATTACTGAGAATTCTTTCTTTCCACATTTGTTGCACAAGTATTGATTTGGTTAGAATTATGGCCCCAAATCACTTGCCTTAGGCCTGCAAGACTCCTCCCCTTCTTTTGGATTCTACTTTGTTACACAGTTCAACAGATCCTGTAGGTTTCCTTGCAGTGCATCTTTTCATATCACCATTTCTTTGCTTTCTCCCCCACTGACATCCTCTGTGCCTTAATCAGGTTTTAATCCTCACCTCAACTAGGCAGACAAAACAAATTCAAAAAGATGCAGACCACTTGTTGAGACCACCCAGCAAGAACGGCTGAAATTTATTCAAGATTTCATACATACAATAAAGACATTGGACTTTTTTTTAGTAATTTACAACAGCAGTAGAAAAATTTGGGCCACATTAAAGTGCAATGATACATATACAACCACATGAATAATGATACTATCAGGACCAAAGGGAAAAGAGACAGAGTTTTATATAAGAGCCTTCTTCGTAGCTTTCCCTTCCCACAGAAGCTCCTTCACATGAGCCAAAGAAGAAACAAACCCCTTCATTCATCCGTTCTATTTTAGAAAGTCTTATATTGTTTTTCAGTTAACCAAGTCCCACTGGCAGCTGGGAGATGGGATATAATTGTGAAGGCCTGTGTGGACACCAGAATAGCATCCTTCCTTCTAGGACAATTTTTGGAGCAATAGATTTTTTTTTAACACTCGTATTTACAAGGTGCATTGCAAAGACTATTGCTATTTTATTACCACAATATAATAGACTTATACCTTGGCTGGCAAAGTCTTGTTCTTTCTATACTGGAGATTGTATAAAGTAAAACCCTGAACAGTCTTCAGATTGTGGCCTCTTGAAGAAACCCGAGTACATACAGAGGCCCCTTTAGCAACCTGAAGAATATAAATATATATATTTTACATTAATACTTATCACACACACATAAACATATACAGATAGACATAAAATTTTGTATTGGCTGGAGCCAGTCATTCTTTGATTGTAATTGTCAGAACCTGTTTCTGGCATTTGGAACTCTTTAATGTACTTTGAGACCCTATTTATACAAGAGGAAACAATATCTGAATTAATCATAATGGATTCAAACTGCCTAGTTTTCATAAGTGCTGAAGGTCAAACATGCACTTCCATGTAACTTTTCATCATGAAATGCATGGATGAGGTACTAAAGATATGGTTTATAAGTTATTTTGGAAGTGTGTGTAATCCAATATGGTTTATACATGCCTTTATATACTCTCTTAATGTGGTAAGGCAGATTTGTAAATTATATCTTAGAAGGAACAAATGTATACAGTAGTAATCTATTTCAAATGTAGAAGATAGAATCACTGATGATTCCTTTGTTTGAATGACTGTTTTTAGTAGTTCTTCCATGAAGCTCTTAATTTCACAATAAAATTTTAGAAGTGGAAATGATTTCAGTCTAGAAAGGGATATAGAAAGGTCTCAGATATTAGTTTGGGAGCCATCTTCTAACTCTAAGAGTGAAAAACAGTTGTGTGATATTGTATAATGCTTAACTGATATAAAACGTATGCCAGTGTTTTCGCCATAATAAAAATACAGGGTTTGTTTTTATCAAAGAATCTATCAAATTTTCAATATTCCATAAAAATTATCTTTGTTATAGAATTTGGTTTAATGGTTAAAAAAAATACCTCAAAATGGACATTTCCACAAACTGTAAAAAAAGGATCTGTTGACGTGGACCTGTTTTTCTTTTGTAGTGTAGCACATGGCTACACGAAGCACAATGGTGAAAAGAAACAGAAAAGAATACCCAGGTAAGAATTGAATTCCCTGATGATTTAAGAGATTTCCTGCACTTTACATATTGACTCCTGGAGGTTTTTTTGTAAAACAGCTTGTAAAGATAAAGTTTCTTATGTCTTTCTACATTATACATTAACTTCATATTTATTGTTTTTACTGTACAGATTTATACCAGTAGACACAACCTGGTTTCTTCATAATATTCTTCCATGTTATCCATGGCAAGCTCCATTTTGTACTAGAAAAGACTTCCAACATGCAATTTCCACAAGGCCATCTTTCCACCAAGGTGTCCAGTCCTACCACTCCATGTTCCCAACCACCTTTTACATTTTCATTCTAGGTCTTTAAGAAGACTTTGTAAACAACCATTTAATTATGGAGGCTGGCAGTATCAAGAGACATGCAAGAGTGGTACTTCTCCATTTCCTCTGACATCCAGTATTCACATTGGAAGTGTGAAAACTTCATTAAGAGTCTTGATGAAGCTTTAGAGTTAGCCCTTCATGTCTGAGATGCCGGTGCTACTAACATTGCAACTTTCACTGTAGCTTGAAGAGGAGCTTAATATACTTGAACCAGTTGCAGATTCTGGATGGAATGCACACAAGATTACACAGAAGTATATTTTACCTTCACATTTAAACTAAAGTTAACTGAACTCTAGCAATTTAACAAATGAAGCTAAACTGAAGCATTTACAATGAAAATCTTACCAGAGCTGCTCAGAGACAGAGCAGATTTTGAGTTTCCAAGCAATGTCAGCAGACTGTTGACTGGGACCCACCCTTCTTTGTTTGTGCTCAGATTTCTTATATACCTAGGAAACACATGTTTTGAACAGTATGAAGATGTGTATCATAAAAATATTATGCCTCATTTAGAGGGAATATAGCCTTTTCTTAGAGAAAGATGATATCTGAAATTTGCCCAGGTGCATACTTAATATCCAGTTTGGATACAGGGGAACCACACTCTCCTTTGCCCACAGTCACTTTTCTTGTAATTCTCATCTTTCCTTCAATGGTTATAGAGGAAAGATCTCTATAAATATAACCATGGGTGAAAAAGGAAAAGTTACAAAAGAAAAGAGGATTGAATGAATAATCCCGCTCCTGCTCTTGTAACTATAGTTAGTTATCTGTGGCATTATGCCTGCAATGGTTCAAAGTGCTTTTAAAGATGTCCTGTCCTAAAATCTAATTCTTCATACCAAAGCCCATCTTCTCCTTCGTGGATCAGCTGAACTAACTCTCCACTTTTCAGCATCAGGTCTTCAGAGCCTCCATTGTCATAATTGGCCATGACTGTGTATTTACCAGGTGCCTAAACAACGAAAAGAAACCACAGTTGATTTAATAAGAAACAAAAGCATAACCATGAGGGACGGTGTAATTATCAAAGTAACAAAAGTAGGTTTTGACATTAACCAATCAATTTATCGTAATTTTTAAAAAGAAATTTTATGAACATCCCAGGAATTCCCATTTTTAGATGAGAAATAAAAAATTGCAAGTGCATAGGGATTTCCGATCATATATGTGGAACATTTCTTTCTCACAAATGAGATGCAGAAGCTGCCACTTGGTTGGAGTTCTAGATCTTACTTACAGAAAGTATTATGCATGCACCATTTTTCAGGGCTGTCACATTCTGAGATGAGGCTGAGGAACTGCTTCCAGCCTAAGGACCACATTCAATTCCAGAAAAACTTTCAGAGGGATGCTTTCCAGTGAGCAGAATCAGAGACAATTGAGTTGACCCCAAGGAAATGTGGAACCAAAATTACAAAAAAAAAAAAAAACCCCACCTATTGTAACTCAAAGATTTTGCTGCCAAGTAATTAAGCCCTAGAAGATGTAGTCCAACCCTATAATGTGAATTAAAAGCTGCAGAAAACATAGAAACAACTAAATGATTGGCCAGGGGAAGGAAGATGGAATAGCTCTTTGGGGAATCCTAGAAGGCTGAACTGGGATTCCAGGCATCCCAGATTTGCTATCCTTGGCTGAGGTCCCCTACCCATACTCTAGGAAAAGCAGATCTGGGGTTCTGCAGATCTGAATTACTTCAGCAGCATTCCACCAGGCAAAATGGAATGTCCTACAGCTCTAGGACATTACTGGATGCTGGTGTCAGCTTCGCTCTCTCCACTGGCATGCCTTTTCCATTCACAAACAGTAAGATAAAGAGCTGCACCTGGGACTGTTTTACTGTGGGGACAAGAACTCACTGCTCTCTCTGGGATTGGTGCATCCAACATCCATCAATAGTTTATAAAGTTTGCATTGCACATACATGTTCACATATTCTAGGAGTTCCTGCAGTGTAAAGGAATATACATTTGCCCATTGTAACAAGAAGCACTCTGCAAATGTGGTATGTGTATACAAGCCCACCTGTCCATCTGTCTATCCACTCACACCCACCCTCTCTCTCTCTCACACACACACTACCCCTCATCTATATATTCAGAGCAAGGTATGTTGCAGTACTGCAGAAAACTGTTACAAATTCCCCTGTTGATGTACTACCGTTATTAGTCAAATTAGGCACCTACCCATTACTATACATCCTGAAGACAAAAGTATTTCAAAGAACACAAACCACACAGGCCCTATGAAATATTGATAATTGAACATGGATTCCTATGCTTTATTTCCTTCTTCCTTATAAATATGAACATGTATTTATTTACCAGCTTCTTTTCTTCTTTTCCTTCTTCTTCTGCATCTGAGGAGTTAAGTGGATCATCTGCACTAGACCAACCATCATTTTCTTCAGAAGCATCAAGCGACTGGGATGTTTTAGCCCATCCTTAATAAACCAGTAACTTATCATTATTAAAAATGTCTACATCAAGCACTACAAACACTATTGAAAAAATATTTATGAAGCTTTTAGAATATTTCAAAATACTAAAAGTTGTGTTTGACTTTAGATGCTGGTACTTTTATATAAAATTCAGCATCCATTTAGAATGGGTTATAAAAAGCAAGCACACACCTCTCAGCTAATTCCACTGTACTGTACTATCTTGTGCTCTCTTTGGAGCTGACAGGTTCCTGGTTGTATCACAACTCTGGCTAGATGACAAATTTGAAATTAACCAAAGACCAAATTTTTGATCAAACTGTACTATTATTTAACATACTCAGTCATACAAAGCATTATTACAACTTCACTCATCACTATGCTGGCATAGATAAGTTCATTCTTATGTCTTCTCAGACCTTCTTAGATCCTACTTATACCACAAAGGTAGTGGATGCCAAGTCAGAGTAAGGTGTTTTCAGCTGGTATGGTTTTTCATCAGTAGATGAACCAGCTGATGTGCAACAAAATTTGTTGCTATTTGACATCGACTGACATCAGCTTCACACATGTCAGCAATCTTGTAACAGCTTGATTTATCAGCTGGAAAATGGCACCTTTTCATGTTAACTGACTGGGGCATCTCTTTAAAAGAGAATCATGAAAATACATGAATAACCATTCTCATTCACAGGTCTTGTATAAAAGTTACCATATCACACTGAAGTAGCAGACAATGTTCATCACTTTTAGGGTTTTTTTGGAGGGGGGGGGAGGGGATGGTTGCTCACTCTAGTGTGCTAACCTAGCAATGTGCTTTACCATGGTAAGCTAAAATATATGAATTGCTCAATTTTAAAGCTTAGCAATTCTGCACTTCATGATTTTCCAGTTTCTTTTTCATTTTCCCAAACAGCTGTAATATAGAATATCTTTTAACTTATGCTTTCAGCATTTTACATCATCAGCACAAGAAGATACAGCAATGGGCACAACCACAAACCATGCACTTTTTGGCAATGAAACACCTGCATTTTTCACTCAAAGGACTACAAACTACAAGCTGATTTGAGGAATGCAAAAGGGAAATCCCTTCTGCATTCATGGTCTGCTGGCAGAAGGGCACAACTAGGCACAAATACAATGGAGAGAAAATAAGAACATGATCTCGACTGGAGCTGAAGCAAGGAAACAAAGGGATATAACCTTTCGTATCTATCCTGGTTACGTCATGCAAATCCCTGCTACCCCAGAGGCATTATCAGCAAGAGGGGAAAATAAATACGGCACCCTGTACATTTTTTTTCTCAGTGGCTAATAGCTGCTTTGGCATGGCAGGAGAATTGGTGTGTGGGAAACTTCATCTTCCTGACCTTGATCCAAATGAGTCCCCTCCAGCTGCCTTTTGGACAAGTCAAAGCTGTTGAGAGCTCCTATCGTAGAATCTCTCTTCCCACCTAGGTCAGCCATCAGTGTAACTCATAGTCCCTTGCTCTTTACACACTGTTCAAATAGGCTTGTCTGATTCTGAGGAGGAAGGGCGGGGGGTCAAGGACTTTGAAGGTTCTAGGTTACCTAGTGAAATTTCTCAGGCAGAGCATGAGACTCAACCTGTTCTGAAAGGGGTGGGAGGGTTTTTGGGATGAGGGGGAAGCAGATGCAAGATCCAGTCGACCCAGTAAGAAGGCAGTGGGAGAAATTAGCTGCCCAGTTAGGTCTTCGCTGTTCCCATCATCTTGTCCTCAAGCAGCAAGAGCCACCCTGAGGTGGAGTCAGAAGCTTTACAGAAAGGGATGGACAGACGAGAAACTTGGCTTCAACTCTTTACATGGGTAGATACTTCTCCCTCAACTTTGGCAGAAAGCTATTTATACTTCATACCATTCTGTTCATACCATCTGTTAAGTTTCAATAAAAGCACTGCACTTCAAAGGATTGTTTTGAGTTTGATAGCAGAAAGAAAGAGGGAAGGGACCAACTCACAACATTATATCTTGCAAGTTATCAATGACAGGGTGGGAGGAGGGCAATCCCATGTATGGCATCCTGAGTAATTTGGAAGAAGAGTAGTATGAAAAAATGTGACCCATAAATGGAACTCCTGGGAAGTTGTGCAATGTCGCTTACATTTCAGATTGGACAACCACATGTTGGGGATTACATGAGTGGAGCCGGCTGGAGCTGTGGGTCAGACTAGATGGCCTGTGTGGACCCTTCTGACTTGCTTTTTTTCTATGCTTCTATACAAGAGTCAACCAATTAAAAAGTCAATGTAAGGACTTCCCCCAAGCAAACCCTCCCTATAAGCAGAGAAATGTTGTAATGGACTTCCATCCCAGCAGTTCTACTATATTGGTGCTACCATCCGGAAGCTCCAAAATGTTTGGGAAAAGCCAAAGCAACCCCTTCAGCAGCCAGAAGCCACAGCACACCACACCATGCACAAAGCTCATGTGGACCAAGGCAGATACATTACCTTGCCTGAGCTGGGCTACTAGTAAAAGATAAGTAGTGCTGACCCACCTGGCCCTGTTCCATGTTAGCACAGAACTGGCATCTGTGAAAGAACTGAATAATAAATATTCCCAGTGTATTACACCATAATTGTGATGCTCCCTTCAACCTGAGCTTGAAACTGGAAGCCAGATTCTGCTGGATCAGAACTAAAAACACAAAGCCTTTATGCCTCGCAATGTTTGCCAGTCACTGCTCTCCTCTTCCTTTGATGGAATAACATTTGCAATTTCATCTACTGCTACTGCACACCCATCCTAATTCTATTTCCTGGTTCTCATCTCTTTGCTTCTCACACATTCAGCTTCAGGTAGAGAATGATACTAGTTTGCTGACAGGTAACCTTTTCCTGAAGATGCAGATATGGAATAGATCCCACATATGAAAGTAAACAAGACACACTCTAGCCCTCCAACCCCTCTCCCTCCACTGTCCACACTGGAGCCTGATCATGCTGTAGCCACTTGTTCACTGGCCAAAGAAGAGGGTTGCCGGATTCTGGAGGGAAACATTAGTAGGTGTCAATCCACCTGTAACTGAAACAATGTGGTAGGACAAACTGATTGATCACTACACAAATAAGGAATATCAGAAACACCCAACAAATGGTGACAAGCCATTTCAGAAAGGATATTTGGAATCAAACACGTTTCTTTTGTATGCAACGCAGCATAGGCAAAATCAGCTTGAAAATACCTGCTTTGTACAGCAGAGAGAGAGAGAGAGAGAGAGAGAGAGAGAGAGAGAGAGAAGTGAAGGGAGGAGAATGGTTCCCAGAGGTTTAGTATCTAGCCTTTCACTTCCATCCTTATATCTAAGTTCCAACTCCCAGTCCTGGCCTAGCTCCAGCTAGATCCTGAAAGGGATATGCCACTTGCAGTGATTTCTCAGGTTGCTCCTGCCACACGTGAGCAGGTAGGTGGCTACTGAGAAGACCTGTTCAGTGATGGCCTCCCAGTTGCAGAATTACCTTCATGCACATGCTGACCTGATGACTACATTCTAAAATGGTGCTAATGGTTCTAAAAGGCCACAATGTAGTCATCAGGTCAGAGTGTGTATGAAGTTAATTCTGATGACCTTGTTATTCTCCCAGGTTTTTTAGTCCTTCAAAGATCTTTGCAGTATTACTAGCTACTTTGTTGGGTACTACTTTGATTTTATTCTGTTCCAGCCAACTGGTATGTCAGTAGATATGGGCACACTGAGGAAATCTGGTGACTATTTTGACTGTATTTTTGGCATCCTCTGATCGCCAAAGCTGAGCAAGTGCCCCCCTGCCCCGGCTCTGGGACATGGGGTGTTTTGCTTTTTTAAAAAAAAAGTCCCACAAGACCTCTCCAGAGCATAAATATTAACTTTTGTTGTATGTAGAGCTTCTGTGCTACTTCCATACAAGGATACATCCTATCCTGGCCATAAAATCCATGATATCTTTTTGGTGCTTTTATTAAGTGTGCTCTGGCCAAACTTCTACTTAGTGGGAGGTCAGTGCTTCAAAACAAGGGCTTGGCAAAAAAACATGCATACTGCAAAGGGATTCTACAAATTATGAATATGGTAAGCTGGCTCCACTCTACCTCTCAGACCCAGAGGAGTTGGATCACTCTTTACTTCGTGTTGTTTAGAGGTTTTGTCAGGACTGACAGGAGAAGCTGTAGCAGAATGAAGTGGCAAACAGAGAGAGAGAGAGAGAGAGAGAGAGAGAGAGAGAGAGAGAGAGAGAGAGGAACTAGAAAAACAGGTGGGTTGCCTGCAAATTACCTCTGACTTTATACTAGCAAACTGAAACAAATGTTGAGCCCTATCTTATTTTATTTTATGTTTTTCTTAAAAGAAAAATGTAAAAAGTTTTACGTAAGTAATACAGGACTACTGGAAAAACAGAAAAGGGCATATTTGTACCCTAACTACAAATTTTAGACAGCTACAGTCAAGTTGTCATTAACATGCTATGTTGTTCATATATTATTTTATCCTAACAAAACTAAATCCTATATCAATGTCTGATCTTGTAAGACAGATCACTGACAAAATCTGGCTTTTGGGATGGTGCGTCTTTCAAATCTAGCAGGAAATATTAAATAGCTGGCTGCACTCACTTGCAAGTTCTCCAGAAAGAACTCAAAGGTCATTTTGTACTTTAGATTTTAAAAAAAAGAAGTTTCCTATTGGCTGAAGTACATACATGTAACCACAGCGGTTTCTTCCTCCCACCTCATGATAACTACCTTGTGATAACTATTTCACTGTTGTGGTAAATAAGGAGGAATCTCAACAATTCAAGGGCACATATTTGCTTAACACGGGACAATTTGGAAAACCTTTTCACTATGAGCATGGAACCACTGAGAGGGATCCAGCTGAGTACATTATTGCTACTGGTATTGCACTAGTTTAAATGAACACCTGAGCAACATCGACAGTGCTTGCTAGTATAAGGGATGTCTCAAAAAACCCTGATTGTACTGTCAAAATCTATTGACACTATGGAAGCATTGGCTCACACGAGCACACAGTCAAAAAAGCTAGTGCATAGACATCATTGGATTGGACTGTCGCTACAGGTTGGGTGCACACATTGGTGTAAAAGCACTAATCACCTGCAGCAGGCATAATTTAAAACAGAGTAGAGCAAGGGTAGGCTTTTTACATACATTCATAAAGCTTTGTAAAAATGAAAATGCTATCAGAAACAACAGCAGCTCCTGATTTTAAAACAGAACTAAGCTCTTTCTAAAAAACAAAGCAACTTTTCCCCTTAATACTCACAAAAATAATAGTTTGAAGTAGTATTTTTTTAAAAAAATCTCACTATTGTAACAATACAATCCTTCCAAAACTATCTGGAAGGAAATACATGCATTCAGGGTAGATGCAGTGACAAGTCGGAATGATACTGGCAGTCACTAAAAAGCCTTTGATATTTCTTTGAAGACCACAAGACATGGCGCCTCACCTTGGGAAAGGATAAAAGAATGAAGGAAATCTTCAACTTCATTCTAGTGATCTTAAGTCTGCTCTGTAAATCAAGGTGGTGGCAATAGTCAATTTTACTTCATACAGCTTGAACTTTACACTCCTACAGAGCAAGTTAATACTGGCACCAGTAAAGTCTGAACATTAACTGCACACATCAAAGAAGTCTTGATAGATATGAAACACACCCTACAATGTTTGTGGATCTTCCAGTGCCAGGACTTTTAACAGGGTATTTTGAAAAAAGGGGTATGGACCTTTTGACAGAATAGAAAACTCTGGGATATTGCAAAAAGATGCTGATGCAAATTATTTCTATGCTTCTGCCAATACAATCAGTTCAAATCTTTTCTAGCCTGGCATTCCACATAGCTTTCTATCTCGATGCTGGTTTCTCTCCTTTTGAATTGTTCAGGGACTTTTTTGGGATCTGTGCTCTAATAGCTTTTGCCCTAGGCTAGTAGGAAGCACTCCTGACTTTGGGAATACACAAATCCCTATGGCTTGAACCCCAAGAATTATGAAAAGAGTTTTGCTGCAACCCTTTACCTCCTGCTGGGGAACCACCTGGTATGTAGTGGTTGGAGATAAAAACTGAGGGACCCCCTTCCAAGTGCTTTTTGGCTTATACTAAACAAATTTGAATCTAAGTCAATATTTCTTCATGGGCATCTTCTCTCTTTCACAAATATGCACACACACTCACACACACATAGAATAATGGCAACTGTGGCCTGTATTGGGCAAATAATAATCTAGTGTTCTAAAATGCATCTTTCTGATATTTGGGGTTAATAAAGCTTTGCAATGGAAGGATTAATTTTTGAATGAGCCAAGTGATCCGGGACAGAACCAGTTCTGATATCTTCTACAAAATGGGAAAAAAAATAGGAAGATAGAAGGAACAAACAAGACAGTGGTAAACAGGAGGATGTACCAGTGAAGAAAAATGGTGTTGGTGAAGAAAAAAAAGAATGACAGTTTGATCAATTTAACAAAATGACCTCCATGTTTAATGAGGTTCTGGAGTCTTTTCCACTTACAAAAAGGGATGAAGTAATAAACAGTAACCAATGGAGAAAGCAATGTTTATGGTTCCAGAAAGTAGTCCTGGAAATCAATCTTTATGGTTTTTCCAAAGGATTTAAGCAAGATAAATGTGCTAATTGCAACAGCTGCTATATAAGACTAATGAGGAGCTAAATGTGCACAGAAGCTGAAAGCTCTATTTTTACAGAGATGTTGATTTTTGCTATGGCAAGAGCTGACATCACAAAATGAACAAGATACTGTCTTTCATGTTCCACAACTTAACACCTCCTACTTTACAGGTAATTGATACCCATGGATATCGAAAGTGTACTTCAAATTTACCTTTGCCTTTTTCAGGGTACTTTGGCGCTATTGAAGTGACACAACCGTCTGGCATTACAAGATCGGCATTTCTCTCTTCCTGCTTTCGGATGTTCCTTCCCTCATTTCTTGAAGGGCTGTTTGGGGAAGAAATGTGGAACTACCTTAAAGGTCAATTGGCAAACCCTGTTCATCACAAGGCAATTTCAACAATCTTGCAGCATGTGCTAAAAGAGCAGGAAGCAAGCTTATGAGTGATACATATATTTCCTCAGAGTGGATGATCCCATAAAAATATGTCTGTGCTATAGCATGGGTTATTTTTTTTTAATGGACCAAAATAAGAGGGCCACTTAGCTTAAAAGCAGGACATGCAAGGGACTTTCAGGTGACAGAAACAGCCACGGGACAAAGGACACTTGCAGGCTTTTGAGGGTAGGACAACCTATTTGGACTCCCTTTTTCAGTGATTCTGCCCTGCCACCTTCGCAGTCATCAGCTGCTCTTATTCCTTAGTCTCTCTCTCTCATCACTGTGACCACTTATTTGTCAGGAAAAGAACTGGTGGGCAAGGTGGAAATGATATTCATGGAAAAAATATTTCTTAAATACTACTCAAATACTTTATTTTTTCCTCTTTTCAATGGTTTGGTTGTTTTCACATTGCACAATAAAATTGATGCTGATGATGCTGATGCTGTAGGCAGTGGCACCTGCTGCTCTCCCACTATCCACTGTCAGGTCCAGAGAGAGGCATGTTGCAGTGGGGAAGAGGAGGTGCAAAGAGCTTTAATCAGGAAGTTCCGCTGGTATGTGGGTCAATCATGCCTAGCTGTCTAGGACATGTGATAACAACCTCTAAAGCCATGCTTTTTGAGGTAGAAAGAAGCCCAATAAGGCAGGGAAAGAGGTAGGCCTATCGTGCAGTATGAAAATGGAATGAGGAAATGTAAATTTCTAAAAATGCATATGTATAAAACTGAGGATCACAATCTATTACTTATAAAAGCACCTAAATCTGTTCTTTTAAAAATAGTCTAAGTCAGTGGTGGCGAACCTATGGCACGCGTACCACAGTGGGCACGCAGAGCCCTCTCCATCGGCACGAGCCAAGTCAGCCCAGCATCGCCCCAGCAGCCAAGCATTGGATAACAGCACACATACGGGCCATGTGCATGCTCGGAAAGGAGTAGTGGTGCCTGGCGATGACATTACAAACCGCAACACATTAGCAGCAACTCATCCGAGCATTCGCATGGCCGGTCAGTGCAATGCCAAGGATATATATATATATTTGCTTGGACAGGCTGTGAGTTGTTTTTTCCAAACTAAAACTTCAGTTATCAAGTTTCATTGCAGTGTTGGCACTTTGTGATAAGTAAGTGGGTTTTAGATTGCAGTTTGGGCACTTGGTCTCTAAAAGGTTCACCATCACTGGGTTAGGGTTATTAAAACGAGGTGTCCTGGTATGATTTTGATGGTTAGAATGTGTTTAGAATGGGCAGAAATGTTGAGATGTGCAGAAAAAGCTGCTCAACGAAGGCTTTTTCAAAATCACCCTCTTTTCAATGGAACTTTACCCCTATATTAGGGTTAGAGGAGTGCACCAGGGTAGGGTTAGGCCAGTGGTGGCGAATCTATGGCACACGTGCCACAGCGGGCACATAGAGCCCTCTCTGTCGGCATGCGAGCCCAGTCGCCCCAGCATCCGAGCATCGGGTTACAGCGCACATAAGGGCCATGCACATGCTCAGAAAGGAGTAGTCAGCGTCAGGCAATGACATCATGTGCCGCAACTCATTAGCTGCGACCCGTCTGAGCTTTTGCATGGCCAGTCAGTGCGCTGCCAAGGATATATACCTATTTGCTTGGACTGGCTGTGAGTTGTTTTTATTAAACTAAAACGCCAGTTTTCTGGTTTTATTGTAATGTTGGCACTTTGTGATAAATAAGTGGGTTTTGGGTTACAGTTTGGGCACTCAGTCTCTAAAAGGTTCACAATTAATGGTCTAAGTACTTTATAACATAAAGAAGGCACTTAAGCCTCCAAAATGTAATATCTATCTAGAAAGTTGAAAGCAAATATCTAGTATAGTGAAAGGCAAAGAAAAAGGGATTTAAAATGGAAGAGATTCAGAACAGTCAGTGCTTTACAAATAATTTTTTAAAATCAGATAGTAACTTACCTTTTATGCAATACGGGCAGAGGTAAACTGTGTGTATGTTCTAGAACTCTGTGTTGGCTTGCTTCTGCAAGGAAGAGAGAGCCTCTCAAAGTACTTTGGCCAAATTGCAAATTGTACTTGGTTTAATTTTAGGGACCTCTCTGCACACTTTGAAGTCTAAGGAGTCCTTGCCAATAAGCTGAACTAAGCTATATCACTTCAGTTTTCCCAGAACAAAGCAAGCATGGACAGAATTCTTGCATAAGCACATTAACTTTTTGCCTACTACTGCAAGAGTACCACATCCTTGTTTTTTCAATTGTTTTGTTTGTTTTTAGCCTCATGTGTCAATTGTCTGTTGTAATAATATTACAACTCATGCAAAATATTGTTCTTACAGTTGCTAATCTAAAAACATGACAATGCACATATATAATTCATAGCTTTTCCACTGAGGTTTGCATTAGGCACACCAGAAAAGGTAAGCAAAGATAAAGATATTATCGTCATCACATGGAACATAGGCAGTGCAAATGCAGTCTATAAAAAGTCTCAAACTTGTAGGCAGAATGTTCCATAGTCTAGCCAAAAATTCTGTTTGTGCTCATTTTGCTGTGTTGTAATAGGTATTTTGCATCTATACTCTGATTTACTATCATGTCTATTGGACTTCCACTGTCATTTACCATTACCTCTTCTCCACTACAAACTGACTCTCTCTTTTGTCCTAAGATGCATACATATACCATGGTCTACCAGTGATCCTGAGAATGACACACTGACCTGTTTCACATGTAACAACAAACCATAGTTCATTGGGCAACATGCTTGTTGCTTCTGCTCTGAAGCTGGATTAGTAAACAACTCAGGAGTGCCCTGTTACTCGGCTATTTATAGTGACATCTGAACCCAGCACACTGGGTTGTTGAGGGAGAAACAGCCTAGAGTTTTAACTGATGATTTGTTGTTGGAGGAAAACTCTGAGTTACTTGGTTCAGATATCACCTTAAACAATTAAGGAACACAGCACTCCTAGTTGTTTTTCACCAGATGCAATAAGTGATTTGTGGGTTGCAGGCAGTGCTGATTACCCATGGTTGGTTGTTACATTTTAAGCAGATCACTTTGAAGTGTGCACGCAGAAATCTATTATTCCCACTGACCCAACTTGATCTTTTTCAGTTTTCATCTGTAGTTTCCTTTTGTCTTTGCTCAAGATATGGGATTGTTGCAATGTTGTAGCCATGAAAAAGTGGAGGGGTAGATTCCAGGGAACAATTGAAATGTATGGAATACATAATATGTAAATAATCAACTTATGTGAAATACACAGTGTGCACATTATGTTAATATCATAGTGTATATAACGCCCTCTTGTTTTTCTTTAGTCTAAAGCAAGCCTGTAGTCCAATCCAATCCAGTTTGGGACTACCACCCACCTCCCCTATATACCTTGTGTGGCAGTCTTCTGAACAGTCTTCTGAACTCCTATAGAACTGTCTTCTATAGGAAAAAAATAAAGGGGCTACAACTGGGGACATTCATGAGCCAAAAGCAACATTTTCCTCAAACAGCAGTAACTCGAGAGTTAACAGTGGGTGGAACCTTTTGCTCCCATCCCAACTTGTCTCTAATTGCTGTTCCTTCAATCCCTAGCAGAAGTCAATGGAAGGCATTCGACTGTTAGAGAAAGTAAATAAAGTTGTCATGCTAATGGGCACTTTGGTATTATTAGATATCAGGAAAGAAAGAAAGAGGAAAAGAAAGAAAAGGCTTACGCCTGCATGCCTGCAGTTGGCTGGTCAATACTTTTCTGATCTCATTTACCCAAGTGGCTTTGACTTCAGGGGTTGGAGCCTATGTCAAAAAGGGAAATAAATTCAGTCAGCTGCTTCCTATTAAGCCAATCTAAAAAGAAGGCAAAGAGAATGAACACCCTGGGCCCAAACTGAAAACCTGTTTGTTTTATTTTTTAAACTGGGATGTAAAGTATTTCTTGCTGCAGTCACAACTCGCTTCTGTTAGAAGACAAGCCAATGGCTGCCTTAACTTGAGAATGTTTGTATAGAATCAGTGGGCGTGAATAGGGTCCTTCACACCTTATGGAGCGGGCATACCCTGAACACATTACAGGAATTATGTAACTTGTGAGAGTACCTTTTTTTTGCCCCCTGTACATTGTAAATGCCAATTAGAGCACCTCACAGTGGGTACTCAGGAAGAAACAAAATTGCCACATGTTAAGAGATCATCATATGAACCAGATAACCTTTCTCTGGGCTCGTTACAGACATGACACATAGGCTCCCCGCAATCCTCCAGGAATACCTTGCTTTGACAAATTGGAGAACTGGTCCACTACAGCCTTTCTCAGCCTTGTGCTGTTCAGACATGCTGGACTACAACTCCTATAATTCCCAGTCAGCACAATTGGAGTTGCAGTCCAAGGACCAGGCTAGGGAGGCTGGTCTAAGAGCTCCTTTTGTGAGCTATTTATTTTGATAGCCTAATATACTCAGTTGTGGCAGTAAGGCAGATATATTCATTAACTAGACATGAGTGACAAATGCTCTACAGTACCTGCTCCATATTCCTGGGATCCAGTGCCCACTCTTCTCTGCACTATACAGGCTAGACTCATATATGTTCTGGCATGAATCCTATCAGACTGCTTACTGCCACTGTCCCTGGGAACTCAGCTCCCCTGCTTGGTATTGTAGTTTGCATGTCTCTCCCTTCCTATCAGTGCACAGTGGGAACAAAGGAGCTCTGAGACTGGCAGATCTCAAGACAGCAGGGCAGATGGAGGGATGTGTGTCACTCTGTCTCCCAAAATACAATCCAGAATTTCCTCTCTTTCCATCCCAGTGGAGATTAAGGAATGAACATCAACCATCTTATAAACGGCTTTTTAAAAGGCACATATTTAAAAAGAAGGAGTGCTTACATCCATATATGCCCAGCCGCCCCTCGAGCTCGGCGGGAGAGGCCCTTCTACGGGAGCCCTCCGTGGAAGAAGTTAGGAGGGTGGTTACTCAGAGGAGGGCTTTCTCAGCGGTGGCGCCTAAGTTATGGAATGCGCTCCCCAGAGAGGTCCGCCTGGCGCCGTCATTATTTGTTTTTCGGCGCCAGGTGAAGACCTTTTTATTCAAGCAGCATTTTAAATGATAATATTATTGAATTTTATCGGGCCAGGGCGGCTTATTTTATATTGTATATTTGTATCTTATTTTAATGTATGTATTTTAAAATTTTATTTATGATGTTTTAATTTATTGTTGTAAACCGCCCCGAGACTTCGGCTAATGGGGTGGCATAAAAATGTTTTAATAAAAAAAAAATAGAAGAGTGTTTGTACCTGTATTATGTAAACCTCTTCCCTTGCATTATACCAGATTTCAAATTTTTTAGCATCACCTTTAATGTTTTCTGTTATTCCAACTGCAGCCATCTAGAAAACAGAACACATGCACACTGACATTTAGGTTGATAACCTTGTTAAGCACACCTCCTATCAAGCCCACGCACAGGCATCAAAATAAACCTTAGCTGTTTTGGTCAAAGGGCAACCTTCCCTCCCTGCAACACCAACTGTTCTTCTCCTATGTCCTATTGGTCATAGCCAAACCAAAAGGAAACAAAAAATGCAGAACATTTCCCCTAACCTGTGCTTATAAATAGGGGTGGGGGCAAGCAGAGTTGATCAGTTTGTTTTAATGCTTTTTTTTTAAAGGGGGGTTCAAATTGCATAAAATTTTATTGGAACCAGCTGTACCCTAATAAAAGTGACAGGGTAAAGGAATAAAAACAATGGGTGTCCAATATAGTGAGATTGAGAGCCAGTGTGGCGTAGTGGTTAAGAGCATGGGACTGGGACTCAGACGACCTGGGTTCTAGTCCCCGCTCGGCCATGGAGCCAAAGGGGTGACCTTGGGCCAGTCACAGACTCTCAGCCCAACCTACCTCACAGGGTTGTTGTTGTGGGGATAAGATGCAGGAGGAGAATGATGTAAGCTGCCTTGAGCCCTTTGTAGGAAAAAGGCAGGATATAAATCCAAAATAATAAAATAATAATATAAATCCAAATAATTAATTTCAATGACTTCAAACATGGTGAACATATGCTTAGTACCAAAATAGATGCACTGCATTCATAAAGGAGTTAGGGTAAGAAGCTGGTCAGTGCAAATTCTTTGGGCCCAATTTTGATATGACAGTAAACACATTGCTGAGAATCATGCTGATACTTTTAAAGACATTAACAGGACATCTGGAGGTCCCTGCAAGGGGACTCTTCCTCCCTATCACAGTTCTGATCAGAAAAGATCACAGTTCTGGCTCAGCTCAAAGGAGGGGATTGTACACAAATGAAGCACATGGAGCATGAGGTTGCATGACTCAGAATGTAGAAGCCCGTCACAAAACAGGAAAAGGACAAAAGAGATTAAGACTATGGGCAAGAACTGTTTTAGGGGCCATGCTTTACTTTCAGCACATGTCTAGCAGCTATGCCTGCTTTTCACTTTACTCCAGAGTGGGTACAGGGCAGCTAATCCAGCTAATCTTGAAAGACCTCCCAGCCTCCTTGCTAGGGGCCTGATCTGAACTGGAAGGGTGCATCTATGCTAGAAAAAAAAAATAATTAAAAGACAGAGCTGCCAGGTATACATTTAAAGCTGAGTCTGTTTTGGCCTTTAAAGTAACCTTCAAAAGCTCCAGCCAGCAAATATTAGCCAAGGCTAAGGCCGGGTGGTTCCAACATTATGACAATGGAATGAAAACCACTGCAGTGCCACTTCCTTCCTGCAATCCCCACACCATGAGAAACAGAGCTCCCTTCTCAAATCAATATTGTTCTGCCAGTTTCCCAAGGGAAGACACAGTTGTGAAAATGAGTCAGAGGCGTCCCATATTGCTACAGCGTGAGGGCTGTGATGACAACTCTCATGCTGCTAGGATAACATGAGTTATCTATGAGAAGGAGGATAACCCAAGTTTATTTTGGTTGAGACTCAGGTGGGATCAACCTTCTGCATTTTGGCTCAGCGTTTTTCAGTAAGAATGCAATGTAATTGTAAATTAAGGTGGGAAGATCCTGCAATAGACAGGGCAGATAATTAATATTAACTTTAATTTTCAAAAATTCAAATGTCATCCAGCCTGTTCTGTAGGATTTGCACTATGGAAAGGGAATCCATTTAATAAATTAATTTACTAATCAAATTAACCACGTTACTGCATCCAAGTGGTTATTGTGTCTACTGCAGTTAAAATGTTAAATTTTAATGTTGAATGTTAATGTTAAAAATGTTAAAAATACCTCACATTTAAGGTATGTTAAAATGTTAAAAAAATACCTTACATTTAAGGAGTGCTTATAGCTGTATGAAGGTGCTTTTTCATATCCTTCTCCATTTTCCTCTCTCTTTTTACAGAATAATATTGCCTTCTCGTGGAGGAAGAGATGTCGCTGCATTGGCTTGAACCGTGCCAGGTCCTTCACTTTTGAATGACCCTTTTTATGATCAATCCATACACTGAACGATCCTTGCATTAGAAGCTTGCCCAGTTCATTCAGGTTTCCCTTGAAAGCAAACACATGGCTTAAATGTTTACACACGGACAATAATACCCGACTGTCTCCTTTGATCTTTTATCAGACTGGCTGGAAAGGAAGAAAAACCATCTTAAAGCCAAGTGGCAGGGCAAACATTGCGTTCTTCTCCTGCATTGGGTGTGGAAAGCTGATTGTAGGGATCCTCCTCTTAGTCCAGGTCATGGCCTCTTAAGCTGAAGAAAGGGAGACCTCCTCATGTCTGGACCACTGCATGGGATTGGCAGGTCTCATGATTTAACGTAAAGCTTTGGGGTTTTAAACTCTTCCTTAGGGACTTGAGTGGAATGATTTAAATGTGGTCAGGAGAAAGACATAAGGGCCAAGGAAGAAAGATACTTTCTGCAGGGCCTGCCTAGTGCTCTTCCACCCTTCCCTTTCTGACATTTAAGCCACTGTTACGTTTTCCAAATCTCAGCATCTTTTTTCTATGTGGAGGAGAGGAAGGCACCACACAGCCTAAATAGCTATTCCTGAACTGGCATTCAGTTACAGAGGCTTGAGCTCTCTTTAAACAAAGACACACACACCAAGCATCCCCAGTCATGTTCTCCAAGAGTCACCATCCTTTATTTCGGTTTCAGGCTCTGCCTGAGTCTCAAGGGAGACTTGGCAATTGCATTACTGCATAGCCACAGGTAGAAAACCTCACATTTTCCAATATATTAGTCTATTGTTAGAAGTCATCCTTAAGTACATGGCTAAGGATGTGTGCAGGCATGCACACACCCACACTCTTGAGTGTTTTTTTGAAGTTCACCAGATAGTAGTGTGAGAGAGCATCCCAGAATTGTACAAGAGAGATTACACACTAGATTCAGGCTTGCAGCTTCTGTATGTTTCCTGTTGCCCAGTTTTGTGGGGAGAACAAAACAAATGAAATAGGGAGATTATGTATGTTTGGGTCACTGAGTTTGGGGTGGGAATGCTCAAGTGTCCATTTGGGTCCTACTCTCATCTTGGTATAATCCTGAGGATGATGTATTATCTAAATAAGCTCACTGTAATGGAGGCAATCAGGTAGAAGTAAACATGAGCAAAAAGAAAACAATAACAGAACTGTGAAATGTTTCTACTTGTCTTAAAAGCTGACTGTTAAAAGGTAAGGATGTCAAGTTATACTAAACTAGCTAAGTTTGTTTATCTTACTTAGGTCCAAAGCTCCAGGGAGAAATTTTTGGATATTATCCACTCCCAGCAAGGTTAACTATGAAGAACAACAATTAATACATCTGTTGAAATTAACATAAATATACTTTAACCTATTGACATTATATATTGAAATATCTTAGAAAAAATGTAAAAAAATAATTCTGAATGCTGAAGACAAGACAAGGCAAGACACCAAGTAGAATATATCCTGCTCAACTTTTCTAGTGAAAAATAATCCCAGGAGTGTTAAATGTATACCTTACTTGGAAATATCTGAGATTAGCCACTACCAGGGAGATAGCCGCATCAGATTGCTTTTACCGGCGTAGGCCTACAAAGCATAATTTGCATCCCTCCCCTGTATATGAATTATGGAGGAGCAGCAGGACAGAGATAATGGAGATGGGTCTGGTCAACTCATCCAGCAGAAGGCAGTGCTAGCCATGTAGCTGCCACTTTGGAGTGTCCCTTCACTTATATGCCTTGCATGTAAGCAGCATACCAGGAGAAAGTCTGTTCCCCGTTTTATTTATTTATTTATTTATTTATACGTTCCCCGTGCTACTGGTTTTCTACTTGCAGGAAGCTTTTACACAGGGTAGCATTAACATTTTCTACTTGTGCTAAAAGCTGATTGTTAAAATGTCTATAGTCTCAAGGGGTATGGTTCATTCCATCACCTCCTTTAGTAGTGTCATCTAATCTGTGATGCTTTACAGAATACAAGAAGATGGAAGCTTGCAGCCTAAAAAAAAAAGCAACAAATACACGAGCCATTCAGATACATATAATAAGCCCGGAAGTCTCACTTTGCCCACATCTTCTTCTAAGTTGCAGAAGAGAACAACCACCCGAAAATGAAGTGTTTCACACTGAAAATATGCAATTATGAGTTAGCAATAATTTCAGATAATTGGAAAAATAAAACTGTTGCAGCAAACATTTGCACTACTGTTTATATGCCCTTACTGTTCCTTAGAATTCTAACAGATGATTGTTTTTAAAAGTATTGCCACTTACATCATAGCCAGTGATTGCAATCTGATGCATGGAATCATTAACTGCTTTAAGAATTCCCAATATGGATGTTAGTGCCTCTTGGAGATCTTCAGCACCTTCACAATTTTTACTGTATTTTAACATTTCCTGTGGAAAAATTACACATACTGACTCATGATGGGGAACACCTCAGGGGAACATAATTCTTCCAAAGCAACCAGGACATTCTTACAGTATGATCAGGTTGACACCATCAGGAAACGGGGAAAAAGGCATATTGGCTTCTCTTCCCTGCCCCACACATGATGAGTTGATGATAATTACCCACACCCAGAGTGAATTGCTGTGGAGTCCTGACTTGCTGAAAGAAAGTGATGGCAGGGAGTCCAAGGCACTCTGAGCTCTAGGAACATGCCATAGGTTGTTGCTTACATTCTTGCTCCAGAAGGAGGCAGTTTGGCAGAGTTCGCATGAAGGTGCTCCACTGACCTGTTTCCTTCCAGAAACAAGCATTTCCAGGCATTTTGGGGATTCCTCTAGAAAGCACTAAAGCTCTTTTTTAAAAGATAAGTTCTGGATCTTACTTTTTTAACAGAATTGGTGGGACTGCTTCCTGTAGAAGGGAACTGGCAGAGTGGAAAGGATATAGTGGGGGTATAAGGACTGCATTGGATTGTGTCCTTTGTAAAATAAATGGATGCATTAGGAAATGGGTAGAGTTGGAGATACCAAGCAAGACCTTGAGCTGGGAGACCTTGGTTCAAAGGCAGTCTTTTCCCTGCCCTTCTTAGTCAAATTCCCCAAATCGGTTTTCTACCTGTAAAGGAGGAGGATATGTATGGCTGGATCAAGATATTCCCATCCGCAAATGGAAGGGCTCTTTCTGTCTATGGAAAGCTCTTGATCCAGCAGAAAGATCCCACTGGTGGAAACATGGGCAGGAAACTTTGTCCAGTTCTCTCCTCCAATAGCTTTCAGTCCACCTCCCTCATCCCTCTGGAGCAGAGTTTCTAGGGGATGTGGAAAATTGCAGAAGTTACTTCCCCAGATTCTGCTGGGGAACAGTATACTCTCAGTTGAATTCAGAGTTACCTTTTCAGAAGACTAGTTCTGAAGACCTCAGAAATAAAATAAAATATGCCGCAAATTAGAAATGTTGTATGAACGATAAACTGCAAACGTGTCATGAGATAAAGTATTATTCATAGCATGTATTTGCCCTTAGTCACAGCCAAAAAGCATAAGGCAATTTCACACAATGATGGACATGGTTAAAATAACATTATTCCTACCTTCAGCAATAGCTGATATTTGGTTATTCTTTGAACAGGTTTCAGTAAATATGAATCCAAACTCAGCTTGTGGTCAAGTTTTTTTTTGACACTCCTTTGAAAAATATTCATGAATGAAAAAAAGGAAAACATATTATTACATGAGATGTACAGAAAAGAGTATCAATTATCTAATGAATGTGTTTTCAATAAAATAGAGAATACCTGAAAGAACACAGAATCTGAGAACTGCCTCCAAAGACTTTCAGATCGAGGCTTATTTTGACAATATTTTTCATACATCTGAAAGTCTTCCATCTGAATTTGAGAGAAAAGAACAATGAATACAACAGGCTAAGCTTTTAAGTATGAAGGAAACAATCACACATAAGATGCAAATGTCACTAAGAGAATATTAAAATATACATGACTATTTTGATTAAAACTGCAAAGGATATTGGGTCTCTGTCAAAGAACCTTTCCCTGTTTGTTCATGCTTCGCCTGGAAAGCTTCCCATATGGCAACTGTGAGAAACTAGCATTTACATAAGTTTCAGATATAGGAAAACAACTGTTGAAGTCAATTCTGCCATTTTTCATTGGTTGATAGTAATCTGGATGTTATCCTTTCCATCTGAATAATGTAACACACATCAGTGTCCCTACAGATACAGCAAAACTTCAACACAGTAAAGAGCCAGCTCATATACCCCATTTCCCTGTTTTTTGAAGGATAAGACAAGGGAAGAAGCTGCCTGTAGGAGTCCTGTCCCTAGAGCTTCCAGGTACTTCCACAGCCCTCCCCTGCTCCTTTAGACACCTGGCCTTGCTGTGTTGAGCAGCAAGGTCTGCAGTGGAGGCCTACCTGTCCGCAATTTTAGCCTTTCCACACAATGTATTTTGCATACCAAGAAAATTCTATCAATTATAGTTGACCTCTGCTAGCCATTTCATGTAACCAAGTTATCACAGGAACTTATGGAGCTGCCTTAAAACATGACATATTATCAGAATCCATGAAATGCCATGAACACTCGTTTTAAGACGAAGGCCTAGGAATTGCAATAAAGCCATGTATCATATTCTCTTAGCACTGGATCTACAATTCAGGAAACATAATGATCATAAACATGATCTGATCTAGCCTGCTTGAATAACCTGATCTTGCCCTTTGAGGTCTTCCTACAAGTGCCAAAATCACAAGGGGCTTGGAGGGTGGCAACTAGGGAGAAGTCTTTTCTGTGGTAGCACCCCATCTTTGGAACAATCTCCTTGTATAGCCCACCTGGTGCCAAATTTGCCATCTTTTTGGTGCCAGGCCAAGGTAGCCCTCTGTATGGAGACCTTCAAAGATCTCCTTGGTTATTCAAGGGCCTGAGAGTATTTTCCCGGTGATTCGCCTTCTTGCTGGTTCTTTTTGCTGTATTTTAAATTAATCAATTCCTTTAGCCTTGTTGTTTTGTGTTATTTGTATTGTATTTCATTGATTTGTTTTTATACATTATTATAAACTGTCCAAGAGAGCTTTGGCTATGGGGCAACACAGAAATGAAATAAATCATAAGAGCAACATCTGTATATGCACACAAATTGCTCTATGTGATATGCTTCTGTTGCAGAAGCTATTCAGTTACTTGTGTATGATCTAACTTCAGTCTGGAATGTGCTTGAACCTTCTAACAATGGTATAATTTCTGCTAAAAATGCTGCTGCAAGAAAAAAAACAAAGTTTGCCAATGAAGAGTAAAATTCCTGAGTTATTTAATCCAGGAATTGCAAGAGCCAAGCAGGAGCAAATGAGTATGCCAATTCCTATCTGTTTATCACTTCTGCTTTCAAACACCTGCTCCTGGCTTATGGAGACATCTGATCTCAAGAACTTTGGGTTGTTTAGAATCCAACAACCCAGGATTAACCCAACAAGTTTTCCTGGTGAACCCAACCATGCTGGGTGAACACTGAGCTGTTTAACCCAGAATTCCGGTGTTTAGATATTACAATAATAACTGGGGAAATGGGTGTTCCTGGGTTGCTGGGTGTGTGGGAGGCAGTACCCTTTGCTGCCCTGCTCAGCCATGGGCCATTCCTTGATTGAACAACCTAGGAATCACTGTTACACAAGAACCAAGTTAGTGTTTCTTAATCTTTGCAGTACTTACCCTTTCAAGGAAACATCTTCCTACCAGTTCCGGATATTCCATATAATTTTCTAGTTCTCTCAAGAATATTCTACAAAGAAAAGAATGCTCTTTTTAGACAATATATGAAATAACATAAACATATGTATAACAACATGGACCAAAGAGCTTTGGCTATGAGGCAGTATAGAAATGAAATAAATTATGACTGTCATGATAATGCTCTTCTACCTTTCATGTTCCTGTATTTTCTGTATTTCAGGATCAGAGATCTGCAATATTGTTGTGTGAGAACAAACAGGTAAGATTCTAAAAGAGAATCAGGTACTACTTAACCAATGTTTCAAATGAAAGTATAGAATAATATGGCCTAACATTATTTAAAATGTTACTGAGAATTATGATGGTATTAATTTCTTTATACAGTATAACATAGTGATGTAGATGTAGTTTACTGAGCAATAAAAGCAAAATGGACAGGTCCTCAATGTGAAGAGATTAACTTAAATTTTGACCATATGGAAAACAACAATCAGAGCAGCAGAAGAGGGACAAAAAGAGAAGGTTGAATGTGTATGTATTACTTATGTGCATCGTGCATTTAAGCAAACTGCTCTATATCCCTATAGCTATATCTTGTGTAATTTGAGAGGTCACATGGTTCTTTAGAATGTACAGTGAAAACAGTAAAACAACAATTTTTGCAGCACCTTAAAAACTAATTAACTTATAATGGCAGAAGCATTTGTGGACTGCTATCCACAAAAGCAAATGCTATAATAAATATGTTAGTTTTTAAGATGCTACAAGAATCTTTATTGTTTCCACAACAGCATACTAAACTGCCCACAACTCTGCAAACAATCTGAGATTATGATATATTTTAAAATGCAAACACATTTGAATTTGTACTCAAATATTTTTTTAATTCTTTGCTACTAATGCCTGGATAAAGGTAAAGTTTATTAAAGAGATGGGAGTACCAGACCATCTTATTTGTCTCTTGAGAAACCTATATGAGGGTCAAGAAGCAACCATGAGAACTGGACACGGAACCACTGATTGGTTCAAAATTGAGAAAGGAGTTTGGCAAGGCTGTATACTGTCACCCTGCCTATTTAACTTATATGCAGCGCACATCATGAGAAAGGCAGGGCTAGATGAATCACCAGTTGGAATTAAGATTGCTGGGAGAAATATCAACAACCTCAGATATGCAGATGATACCACTCTAATGGCAGAAAGTGAAGAGGAACTAAAGAGCCTCTTGATGCAGGTGAAGGAAGAGAGTGCAATAGTTGGCTTGAAACTCAACATTAAGAAAACTAAGATCATGGCATCCGATCCTCTCACTTCCTGGCAAATTGATGGGGAAGAAATGGAGCTAGTGACAGATTTTATTTTCCTGGGCTCCAAGATCACCGCAGATGGGGACTGCAGCCAAGAAATTAAAAGACACTTGCTCCTGGGGAGGAAAGCTATGGCAAATCTAGACAGCATACTAAAAAGGAGAGACATCACCCTGCCAACAAAAGTGCATATAGTCAAGGCTATGGTTTACCCAGTTGCAATGTATGGCTGTGAAAGTTGGACCATAAGGAAAGCTGAGCACTAAAGGATTGAGGCCTTTGAATTGTGGTGCTGGAGGAGACTCCTGGGAGTCCCTTGGACCGCAAGGCAATCAAACCGGTCAGTCCTAGAGGAGATCAACCCTGACTGCTCTTTAGAAGGCCAGATACTGAAGATGAAACTCAAATGCTTTGGGCACCTAATGAGAAGGAAGGACTCCCTGGAGAAGAGCCTAATGCTGGAAACAATAGATGGCAAAAGAAGAAGGGGACGGCAGAGGATGAGGTGGCTAGATGGAGTCACTGAAGCAGTCAAGTGGACTCTGGGGGATGGTGGAGGACAGGAAGGCCTGGAGGAATGTTGTCCATGGGGTCACGATGGGTCGGACACGACTTCACAACTAACAACAACAAAAATGCCTGGATATGCACGTATGGGACACAGTCTTAACCTGTTGTGAAAGTGATAGATTTCTTCCATATTTCCAAACAAAACATCTTTCTTATTGTGCAGCTCTGGTGAAATGAGATGTGCCATTAAGGGATTGTCCATCTCTGCAGCATAGCCCTGTGACAAAAAAGAGAAGCAGATTAATTGCTTGAATTTTGTTCCAATTCCTCTCCAGCAAGTCCAAGCTGCTCAAAGCTGATAAACACACAGCAATATTTCAGCATTAGCTATAAAACTGTTCAAATTTTTAGTACGATAGCCATTGCTCTTAATACTAGTCCAATTATGTATCTGTTTCAGAATCTACATATAGTTAATTTAAAGATGTCCTTGTTAAAAACAGAAAGTTTTATAAAATCAAAAATGTATTTCTGAACTATTTATTTTTATGTAAATAATAACTATTTATAAACCATGATGGTTCCAATGTTTGGTCCAAGAGCTAACCACAATGACTACAGAACCTCATACTGTGACCTTTCAAGCCAATTGTTCTTTCTTCTTCCTTCCTGACACAAGTTCCTGTTTATGACATCTGCTGAAGGCAACACAGCCAGCGCCTATTCTTTAGTGTTTCCAATCAGCAGGAAAGACGTACAAACTTGTTTTAATCTGTGCTTTTAGTATGCAGCACAAATTCCTCATTAGACACCACTGCAGAAAATGTTCCATTTAGATGAAGCATCTGGCTGCAAAAGGGAAATCAGGCAGAAGTGACAGGCTCCTGGTCCCAGGATACTTATTTTAGGGCTGGGACATATTTTTGTCAAGGGATGTTGCTGAAAATAGCATTCCAGTTTCCCTTTCCATGCCACAACATTTGGAACTATACAGATCATGACCATATCCACTGGGTTCACAAAGGGTTGACAACCCGAACCAGGAGCAGGCACTACAACAGAAAGAAGGACTTGCACTGCTAAGACCAGTTCTGGAAGGACAAGCTTGCTCTTATATGGCTCTTTCCCCAGGACTCTTAGCTGGCACTTATCAGCAGATTGAGAGCTCCAGCAGAGCTGGGGACTGATCCTGTAAATATGGTGGTGGTTGCTCTGGGTTCTGGCCACCAGAGCAGCCTAGATCCTTACAGCCATGATGGGTTGTCATGTCCAGCATGGTGGTCTGTTTGAAGGCAACAAGCCACCCTGACAATCCATGGCTTGTTGTGGGGGTTGTCGTATCCATGATGGATTGTTATGTCATCTGAACCAAGGTGACTGACTGCATCATGGGTACCAGGAAAAGCCTAGAAAGCTGGTTAGAAAAAGCAGCAAAACATCCTTGCTGCTTTGGCCAATTTGCCGCCACCCAGCCACCAAGCATGTGCCTAAGTGGCACTTTAAGGTGATTGGGATTGGCTGCTGTCCCCTACTCTGATTGCTTCAACCTGACAGCCAGCTTTTTGACCCCTACCTTGACAACCACTGATACCCCCTTCAAAACTCACTGGAGCAGCTGTCAGCAATTGGCATTTTTTAAAAAATAGTGCAAGCACAATTTTACTCTATTTAAAAAAAAGAACTGCAATTGTGTAGGATCACAGATGTGCAAGTGTTGAAATTGGAACTACTGACTGGGCAACGTTGGGGCGTGGCACCTAACATCAGAATGCAGCAGGTACCAACGCTAAACACTGGCCCAAAGACGCTCCAAACAGGGCTTTCTGTGTTTTGCTTTTGCTTGACTTGTTAAAAGGCAAGCTGTCAACAGAATGCAAAAGTACAAATGATCTTTGGTCACAAAAAAGGAATAGTGAATTCTATACACCATATTCTCTCTCTCAACCTGTTTTTTGTTTTTGTTTTTTTGCCCTGACATTTGCACATAATGCATATTTTGCACTAGATGCTTAGAAAACTGCAACAGTGAACTTTCTGGGGGAAAAAAACTTTGAAGCCCCTGTAAAATGAGGTTTTGCTAGGACAATGGGTGTTTCAGATTGGGACTAAATTGTGTGTGCAAAAAATTCAGAAAGGTTTGCTAACCAGTGACAGCCCCTACAGTCACTCACGTTGTTTGAGGCTTGTGAAAAGCAGAGACAGTGATAGCCAGCTGCCAAGCAGGACTTTGCAACCTCAGAAAAAGAACAAAAGCTGTAGCAAGTGAAAAATGGCTTATAATCACAGCAGTGAGGGGGAAACAAGTCTGGCCACCTGTGGTGCCTTCTAGGACAGCTGCAGGAGGACCAAGTGGGAGGGAGCGCGAAGGTGGGAGCAAGCAATGTATGGTGAGCCCAACCGTCTGGGAGGCCAACTGCAGCTTGTTTGCAGAACAACCAGCCCAAAGATCTCTCCCCTCCTCTTGGGAAGGACTTTGTCAAGAGGGAAGGTGGAAACGATCCAATTTCATAGCAACACCGATTTAAGATGACTGATATTGTGTTGAAGTATTTATTAATCTAAGTGGGGTTTTAATACAGATAATGCTTTATGTATTTACTTTTTAAAATCTATGTATTTATTGAATGGAGCTGGTCTTTGACTGCAATAAAGTTCATCCATCCATCCACAGTAACAAGCAATTCTTTCTAGGGCTGGGCTGTTCTTCTGTAGAAAATGTGTGCACCCTGAAAAATCTGAGAAAAATTGGCTCAGCCCTAAAGCCACCTAGCACACATACCTAGGCTGGAACTGTCTACTGCACTGCAGGATAAATCAAGAACTATATTTAGATGTAGCACTGTTATGGACTTAAAATACCTACCTCAAGGACGCACAGAAGTTCTTCAACATAAGCTCGTTCAGTTTCAAGGAGTTCATTAATTACATGTCTGTGATCAAAAGGAATACATAAGGCAAGAGTATATATTCCTAATGCAAAATATTCACGTGGTCCTTAGACTATTTAACACTGGATATTATGAGTAAGTTTCTGAGATAGACCAACAAATACAATAAACTTGCATGCCATTCCTCAGAACTGTTCACAATGGAATGCATTTAACCATATTTTAGCAAATTTAGTACCCTTGAAAATAAATAATATTGTATCAATTTATTATACCACATCCTGTAAAGATGAAAATGGCTAAACTGACCAGATTCTCAGGTTAGAATATCCTGGATTATTTCGCCTTGCTTAATATATTTGAACTGCACATGAACAATTCATACGGCCTTTAATGGAATTGTTTATCTGTACTAGTTGCTAACAAGCCAAGAATGCTATCACAGCAGAGGCCTGTTGTACCGAACAATTCCTGCGGTATATAAAGTTGCACTTACTTCCGTAACACAGCTAGATTTTCTTCATCATCCATCATAGATCCACTTCTACTATGATGGTTTTCATTTATTTCACTCTGAACAGAAAAAGAAAAAGCTAAAAGAATGACAGAAAAGCAGCACATATAATATCCATAATATCACAGGCTAAACATTGCAAACACCCATGATCTGTTGGCATGATGGTGAATGTTGTTTTCCAAGGTACCTTTGGGAAGGAGAGACTTGCAACAGAAGGAGCTGCTGGTCGGTATCCAATGTGTCCTTCCTTTGGCATAAATGCTGCTGTACTAGTGGAAATTAGATTGGTTGTATTCTCTTCTTGCATGAAGTTGACAAGTTTTATTTGTGCAAGCATTTCTGCATTATCCTTGCACAACTTGTTCAGCAACTCACTGTGCATAACTCTTGTGCAGTCTGTTGTGCACCCAGTTCTGCATTCCAGGTATAATGGGCAACCGCTTGTATAACGGAAAGTCTCAGTGATGCTCCAATAGTCTTGTGAGTTTGATGAATGACACCATCAGATACTATGCCATCTGTGTAACAGCAATAGTGCAACAAATGGAAGTAGCTCACCCAGCATGTCATCTGAACTACGATGGCCCAGTGTTTTGACTCAGTATAAGGCAGTTTCATGTGCTTATGGTGGACCAAACCAGATGTAACTTTAGCAAATCTTGAAGTCCTTTTCCCATAATATATGAAACATGTGTATTCCTGTCATGAATAATAAAGGGGCAAGCAGGTGGGAGATGCTGAAACTTTACCATCTTCCTATGCTGGAGCCAGTGACTTGCTTTCTTTCCCTAGATGCCTCTTCTCTCAGCTCAGTTCAGATATTAGGAATGAACTAAACTGTGCAAAAGCTACTGATGGGCAAAGCACTGGGGAGGAAAGTACTCCCTTGCCCTTTTTTTATTTAAACCTGTCCCAGTATTAGATATGCGATCGGGACAGATCCACATTTAATGAGATGTATTTTCTGCCATAATGCTTAGTTTGTCCCTAGAAACACTGGAAATAAATGAAAATTTGTATTTGGTCAAATGCTTTAAGAACCTCACCTTAGAAACAGAGAAACAGAGCGAGTCAGAAGGGGCCTCCTGGGCCATCTATTCTGACCTCCGGCTGCAGCCGGCTGTGCTCATGATATGCCTACCATGTGCATGTCCACCTTGTGTTAATTCAAATGAAAAATGCATGAACTTCACTAAAATGCATGAAAGAAGTAGGATGTCACCACTTACTGCTGGTAAAATTGCAACTGTAGTAGAATCTTTTCACATGCGTTGTGGTAGTGACAACATTTTAAACGGTTTAAAATTAAAGGGTTTGGGTGTACGGAAAATAGCTCTTTTGATACAAAGAAAAATGTTTAGGTCTCTTCAAGGTCTATGGGTTTCATACAAAAACAAATGGGTAAATTTTCACATCAGCTTAAATTACTTTGACTTTCATTCAATATTAAGAATGCAATTAAGAAAATGATCAAATTCTGTCCCTTATTCAATTTTTCATAGGTGCTAAACTGACGATTCTTCCAAATTGTATGGAAATTGTGTACATATAATATTAAAACTGATTATGGATTAATAAAACATTTTTATTACTTTAGGGAAAACAATGGCTCGATCAATTCTGTGCATAACAGACTGTAAAATAATTGGTACTTGAATTCTGTTTAAATAAATTAGAAAGTACTTCTTCAGAGTTTACACAGAAACAAAGTGAGTCAGAATGGGTCTCCCAGGTCATCTAGTCTGACCCCCGGCTCTAGCCGGCTCTGCTCACAACATGCCTACCATATACATGTCTAGCCTATCCTTGAACACGCTCACCGATGGGGTCTCAACCACCTCCCATGGAAGTCCATTCCATAACCTTGGGATCCTGACTGTCAGGAAGTACTTCCTGGCATCCAAATTAAACTTTGGTTCCTTAAACTTGGCTCCTTTGGAGTGCATCCTGCCTTCCTCTGCAGGGGAGAACACCTCTGTGTGACACCACCTCACATACCTATATGTTGCCAACAGATCCCCTCAGAGTCTTCTCCAGGCTGAAAAGACCCAGTTCCCTCAGTCTCACCTCATATGGCTTTCCCTGCAATCTGGTCACCATCCTTGTGGCCCTATGCTGCACTGACTCTAACCTGGCTATATCCTTCCTGTAATGAGGGGCCCAGAAATGAACTGTTGCAGGCACACCAGAGTCGTATAGTAATAATAGTAATAACTCTCTCAATCTAGAAGCCACACTTCTGGCTATGCAACCAAAGGTGGCGTTCGCCCTCTTGACCGCCGCATCACATTGCTGACTCATATTTAGCCTGCAGTCAACCAGTACTCTGAGATCCCTTTCACAAGAGCTGCTCTCCAGCCACTTGTCCCCTAACCTGTACTTATGACACCCATTCCTATACCCCAAGTGCAAGACCTTGCACTTACCCACATTGAATGCCATCCTGTTGTCTCCTACCCACTTCCATAGTCTGTCCAGATCTTTTTGGATCTGGAGTACCTGTTCCTCAGTTGTGGCCACTGCCCCAGTTTTAGTATCATCTGTGAATTTGATTAATAGACTGGTCACCTCTTCTTCCATGTCATTGATGAAAAGATTAAACAGGATTGGCCCCAGGACAGAGCCCTGGGGGACCCCACTTGTCACTGGTCACCATCCTGATGATTCCCCACTAATGGTTACCCTCTGCTTTTGGTCAGTTAATCATGCCCTAATCCACTGGACAGTGCATTGCTCTATCTCAAAACTCCTCAATTTCTCAACCAGGATATCACAGGGCACTTTGTCAAGGGCCTTGCTGAAATCCACTGCATGCCCTCCATCTAGCCATCTCGAAACCAGGACCTGTTTTTGTGGAAGCCGTGTTGTGTGGCCGCCAGCCTCCCTTCCCTATCTAGGGTTAGTAGATCTCTTGCTATTATGAGCCTTTCCACTGTTTTTCCTGCAATGGACGTATGGGTAACTGGTCTGTAATTCCCCATGTCCCTTCTACTACCCTTTTTGAAAATTGGGCCCACTGATGCCACACTGCCACCCTCTGGAATTTCACTCGTTCTCCACAAGGCCTCAAAAATGGAGGCCAGCAGGTATGAGAACTCTCCAAGTACTCTCGGGTGTAACCCGTCATGGCCTGGGGCCTTTGTAACATCCAGTGCCCCGAGGAGCTCCTCAAATTCTAAGGGGCTGACTCTAATCCATGGGTCCTCAAACTATGGCCCGCCATGCCCATTTATCTGGCCTGCCTCAGAGGTTATGGACTCGCTCAGAGAAAACGATCTCCGAGCGAGTCCAAAAGTTCTGAGCTGGCACAGGCGTTCTTTAAAACTGAGCAGAGAGAGTGCTGGTGCATGCTCAAATTACAACAGCACGGCTGAGCATGCACTGGATCCCCACCCCCACCCCATTGCACGCATATACAAAGCAGGAATATAGTGCGGGAAACAGAAGAGAGGCAAGCAGAAGAGAAAGAGAGACAAAGATGAAGAAAGGATTGAAGGTAACAAAATTATAACTTTTAAAATCTATTTTTAATTATGTGAGCCTGGGGGCAGCCAGGTCAGGGGCGGCCAGGCCCGCACCTGCCGCCGCCTCGCCGCACCTGCTGCCGCCTTGCCATGCCCAGGCCCACCACCATTACCGCCTTTCAACTGGCCCCCTGTTAAAAAAGTTTGAGGACCCCTGCTCTAAACTGTGTCCCTAAGTCCCTGGCCTCATCTACCGTATTTTTCGCTCTATAAGATGCACTTTTCCCCCGCTCAAAAGTAAGGGGAAATGTCTGTGTGTTTTACAGAGCGAATGTGTGTGTGCCCGACGCCCGGGACGCTGCCGGCCCGCCTGCACCACGTGGCACCACCTGGCCGACACACGCTCAGCACACCCTGCTCCCCCCCCCCCCCGGCACAGGAGAGAGCTGTGCCGCTCGGGGGAGGCAGGCGGAGGAGGAGGAGCCGCGGCCTTTAACCCGCCGGCTGCACAGAGAGCACGGAGAGACAGACTGCTCACCCACACCTCCTGGGAAGACCTGCCGCTGCCGCGCCGCCCAGAAGACCATCGCCGGCACACTCCTGGCCACCTGCACCACGTGGCACCACCTGGCCGGCATGCGCTCGGTGCGCCCTGCTCCGCCCCCCTCCTCCAGCGCAGGTGAGAGCTGTTAATCACAGGTCGGTGTGTGTTTTCAAATGGCAACCTGTCTTTTAATGAAGCCCATGGGGAAGTGATGGGGAATGTGCCTGTGATTATCAGGAAGCTTTCCATGGATCAGTTATCTGTTAGTTGATCAGACACATTTTTTTTTAGGATCAGTGGATATTTGAACAGCATTACCTTCGTGTATGAAGTTTATTCTTCAAAGGCTACTTAGTCCGCTGTGTGTTTGATTTACCGTACAATATCTCATTTTTTGTCAGAAGTTCTTTTTCTATTATTTACTAGTAGGGCAGTGTGGACATTACTGGCTTTTTTAGATTTGTTATTGAATTGTCTGCAGCAGCTCTTGTATAACTGGTGTAGACTGTGGATTCCTTCAATAATTCCACTACTGACTAAGAAAGTGATGTCAGTGATTGTGAGCAACAGAGCTTCACAAATTCTGACTCTAGCGATGATGAGTTCTATGGGTTCAATGAAAACTAGAATAGTACTCAAACTTTAAAGTCTTTTGTTAATGACAGTGATGATGGTTCTTAATGCCACTGTTGACTGCTGTTCACTTTACAAGGTTGAAATCCGGTATTACTGTATTCTGTTATAGTTTATTAAATAGTTTAGTAAACCATTTGATTCAGAATATTTTTTTTCTTGTTTTCCTCCTCTAAAAACTAGGTGCATCTTATGGTGAGGTGCGTCTTATAGAGCGAAAAATACGGTAATCTCCCATGCAGATCTCTCCCGTTCTGCTTTGGGGAGAACACAGAGGCCAAACAGTCATTTAGCATATGTGCCCGTTCCCTCACATCAGTCACTGGATCCCCTTCCTCTTGCTATTTACATGCTTTTTGCTGCTCTTGATACTCTTTGCAAGTCTCACCTCGTAATCAGCCTTAGCCTTGCGAAGAATCCTTCTGCAATGGGCCTCCTCCTCCTGGTATACCCTTTTGTCTATTTGCCCCAGAGTCCATTTCCTATGGAGGTTCCTCTTGCATCTAATCCCTCTTATCACCTCCTTTCCCATCCATGGCAGCACTCTCCTCCGCCTCCCTGCCTTACAACTAACTAGGGGCATCGTCAAGGCTTGTGCCTCCAAAACCTCCCTTTTGAGTGCCATCCACCCCTCCTTAACTCCCTTGCCTTCCAGTAACATATCCCAAGAGATTTTCCCCAGTCTGGCCTTCAGATGGCCAAAGTTGGACCTCTTGAAGTCCCAGCTTCTAGTACTCTTGTCATGGTCAGATCACTTCCTCATGAGGTTTGAGCTCAGAGCTGGCCTTTCCCTCTGTAAGGCTGCAGACCCTATTGTGATGGTCCACCCTCAGAGCAGGATGGATCCTGATGGATTCCTGAGGGCTCTGGGGGATTTTCCAGTTGATAAAGCTGGTACTCCTGTTGATGCTCTGGTTGAACTATGGAATGGGGAAATGGCCAGAGTGATTGACACGATCACCTCTTAGCGTCTTCTCCTGCCAAGGAGAGCCCATCCATCTCCATGGTATACATCTGAATTATGGGTGATGAAGTGGGTTGGGAGACGACTAGAGCATAGGAGGAGGAAATCACGGGATGAATCTGACTGAACACGCTTACGTACTCATTATTGAGCCTATGCTGTGGCGGTGAGGGCGGCAAAGAAGAAATTCTTCTCCACTTCCATTGCCTCCTCACAGTGCCAGCGGAGCTTTTTCAAATGGTACATGGGCTGATATACCCTGGCCCTAAGAAATATCCTGTACCACCATCGATGCCCCACTGTGACGACTTTGCCCAGCACTTCAAGGAGAAAATCGCTCAGATTTGTCATGAGCTGGATTCCACAACTGATTCAGATCCCTTAGGGGAGACACCAATGACCCCGTCTGGTCAGGTATTAATGGATGAATTTCAGTTAATGAGGCCCGATGATGTGGACAAGGTGCTTGGACAAGTATGTCCTACCACCTGTTTACTCAACCCTTGCCCTTCGTGGCTGCTGACCAAAGCCAAACACGGCATTAGTTCCTGGATCTTGGAGGTTATTAATGCCTCTCTGAGGGACGGCCGGGTGTCCACTCCTTTAAAGGAGGTGGTAATCAGGCCTGTCCTAAAGAAGGCATCTCTGGATCCAGAGATGGCCGCCAATTATAGACCAGCGGTCAACATCCTGTTTTTGGGCAAGGTGTTGGAACGGGTAGTGGCAGGACAACTCCAGGTACTCTTGGATGAGACTGATTATCTGGACCCATTTCAGTCTGGCTTCAGACCCGGGTATGGTACTGAATCTGCCTTGGTCGCCCTGTACGATGACCTGTGCAGGGAGAGAGACAGGGGGAGTGCTTCCCTGTTGGTCCTCCTGGACCTCTCAGAGGCTTTCGATACCATCGACCATGGTATCCTCTTGGATAGGCTGGCGGGGTTAGGAGTAGGAGGCACTGCTTGGCAGTGGTTCCGCAACTATGCCATGGAGTTCCACATGGTTCCATTTTGTTCCCCTTGCTATTTAATATCTACATGAAACTGCTGGGAGAGGTCATAAGGAGGTTTGGGCTGCGGAGTCATCAGTATGCTGATGACACCCAGCTCTACCTCTCTTTTTCAGTCAATCCAGGTGAGGCAGTAGCTGTACTGAACCGGTGCCTGGTTGAAGTAATGGGCTGGATGAGGGCCAATAAACTGAAGCTCAAACCAGATAAGATGGAGGTTCTGTTGGTCGGTGATTCGAGTTCCTGGGTAGGTGACTTGGGCCTTGCCCTGGATGGGGTTGCAATCCCTCTAAACGACAGGGTCCGCAGCTTGGGAGTGCTCCTCGACCCGGAGCTGTCCTTGGAAGCCCTAGTGACAGCGGTGGCGAGGAGCGCTTTCCTTCAGCTTCGGCTAATCCATCAGCTGCGTCCCTACCTGGAGGAGGATTGCCTAGCAACAGTAACACACGCATTGGTTACTTCCCGGTTGGATCTCTGTAATGCGCTTTACGTGGAGCTGCCCTTGAAGACAGTCCGGATACTTCAGATGGTTCAAAATAGAGCTGTCAGGATGCTGTCAGGGACTGGGTGTTATTCTCATATAACCCCAGTCCTCTATCAGCTCCATTGGCTTCCTATCGAAGTCCGGGCTCAAATCAAGGTGCTGGTGATTACCTATAAAGCCCTAAACGACTTGGGACCAGGATACCTTAAGGAACACCTTTTTCCCTATTTGCTCTCCTGCCCCCTGAGATCAGCAACAGAAGCCCTCCTCCGGGAACCATCTGTGAAAGAAGTTAGGAGACAGAGTACCCGGAGGAGGGCCTTCTCTGCAGTGGCGCCCAACTATGGAATGCACTCCCCAGAGAGGTCCGTCTGGCACCGTCATTATATGTTTTTCGGCGCCAGGTTAAGACCTTATTAATCAATATTTTAACATGTTTTAAGATTGAATTTTAATATTGTATTTGCAGCCAGAGTGGATCGTCAATTTATGCTGTTACCAGAGACGTTGGTAATTGGATGGCATACAAATTTCATAAATAAATCAATACTCGTCCTGCTGCACACCCCATTCCCCTGATCTCCAAGCAAAAGAGGGAGTGATCTCTCGCACCCAGATATAATTACTGTGTCCCTCCCCTGAGATACCCTTAGAATCTCATCTGTCAGGACATCATCCAGGGTCTCAAGTTACATATGATTACAGATTCTGATTCATATCCTTAGAAATAATGGTTTGAGATTTTCCTTCTTCTTGAGTGATTTTAAATGAATCAAATGAACCAATTTAATACATTAACAATTAGAAACACACCTTGGTTCTTCTGAAATTTATTCTTCGGACCATGTGACTACCCGGGCTGGCTGGATCTTCAGAATCTCTTTGAAGACCTGATATGTGAAAAAAAATCCAGCTGTTGAATTTGGAGCATAGCTCAGTTTAAGTAAGCAAGCTTAATTATTTGCTTTCAACAGATGAGAACAACCCATCTACTTACTAGCTTACCTGGAGAGGAACAAGGTGACTTTAGAGGGACTTCTGGCCTGGGTGCCACTGGCTGAACTGGACGTGTCTGTTTAGCTGCCAGTTTCTTAAGACTGATTCGCCTCTTTTGAAACATTTCTTCCATACTTTCTTGTTTCTGAAACACTTTTTGGATGTGGTCCTGTAGCAGAAACCAAAATACCGCCATCATCTTTAAATCGTATCTATCATATTTCTATCTATTTCTTTTAAAATTCCTGAATAGCCTTTCTGGTTATATAGACCAGTAAAAAGGGAATTCAATTCATAGTGCATTCAATTTCAAATATAAAAAATGAATTATGAAGAACATGCTCAGCTTTTTTTGTTCAGTTTTATTCAAAGAAGCAAGCTGCTTTGGACAAGATTCTAAAAAACTGAATTAAGGTTTTGCAGCTTGGTGGTTGTACCAACTTTAGCAGGTGAAATGCTTTATCACTGCCTTACCATGTTGACTAGTCCCATATTCACTAGCTTGTACCCAGCCTGTCAATATGGAAGCAGAAGTGAGCTTGCATGCAGGCAGATGCTGCTGGTAGTGGTGGTGGGGTGTGCGCGCTAAAGGATCTGGAGCCTTGGAGGGAAAAAGCAGCCAAGCGCTCCCTGCACAAGCAGACGTGCTTCTGCGAAACACAACCAAGGATTCAGATCCAAGCCAATAAGTGTGCAAGTGACCATTCACAATATTCTAGCTCCAACATCTAGGCATGCATCTTTAAGTAACTTGGCCATGGCAGCTTTAGGGGAGGGGCAGAGTTAGGCCCAGCTGTGCCTCATATATATTTACTGTTTTTATTAAATTTATCTCCCACCCTTTTTTCCTTTCAAGGAACTCAAGGTGGCTTACATAACTCTCTTCCTCTTCTCAATTTTATCCTCACAACAACAGCCCTGTGAGGTAGGTTGGGCTGAGAGTCTGTGACTGGCCCAAAGTCACCCAGTGAGTTCCATGGCTGAGTGGGGACTAGAACCCAGATCGCCAGAGTCCCAGTCCCATGCCCTTAACTGCTATACCACATTGGCTCTCATGGTAGGGAAGGCCACAGGTGAACTCCAAGAATGTTTTTGACAAAGAGCGGAGCAATGTTAGTTCAACAGTTTGTTAGTTTTATGGATCGCTATCAGTTGCCACACACAGGAAGATGTTGCTACAACAGTTTATTGCTATTGTCAGGAACTGTTAAAACTTTAGCATTCCAGATTATTACTTGTACATGCCCCTCGCATGTGGCTATCAGTTCATTATAAAATCTTTGTATCAAGATTACCACTAGCTCCTCACTAAGGATGACTTCATATTCTTTGAACAGGTAGTTCAGTTCTTTGAGCTTTTTGTCTCCACCAGTCTCCAAAAATTTCTCAATCTCCTGTAAAGCAGATTCTGCTCCATCCTGGGACTGGCATTTGTCGACAGGCTGTGAAGCCAGCAGATAAATTCCCTCATCGCACCACTTCATGGACTGTAAACACACAAAGGAGACAGGAATAGCATAATAAATAATACCTTTAACAGAAAAGATTTAGTAATACTTTGAAAAAGATGAAACTAAAAATCTGTATGGATAGTCTATACGCAAGCCCTGAAATAGCTTTTCTCCTTGTCTTAGGATTTGAGGAGATCAGGCCTTCTTTCAATTTTCAGGCTGCTTGTGCTTGTGTTTGAGTATAAATAGCTCTCACGCCCCATCTCTGAAGCAAAGCTGTGAATTCTAACATGGACAGAGGAGTAAGGTATAATTCTGCCTGCAGAGACAATAGGAAAGGAAGGTGAAATTCTGAGGGTCCTCAAACAGAAGGGCCAAATAATGTGTCACCTTAGCCACTTTACAGTACAATTTCAACACACACTGCTGTCTCAAGCCCCACTACATGGATCAAGAACCTAGTGAGGGGAGTAGCAAGGTTTTTAACACTTTGGTCCTCGCAGGGGTCTGACTGGAACTGCCCCCACACCCCCCATGCTTTCTGCATTGCTAGAAAGGCCCAATTTGTTTCACTGGTTCACATTTTTCACACCCTCTAAAACCCTGCAAAAGAATCCCAATCTGGGTTGGCTCTTCATTCTGGCAATTTGTGAAAAGCAAATGAATCCTTCACTCAAGGCCAGAACCAAAGGTGGCACGTGGCTCTTGAACCCCTCTGCTGCGGCTCCGTCACTCAAAACACGCGCCGGCACAGGCACAGCCGCTGATCTGCTAGAAGCTCCACTCAGGAACACAGAGCTAGCTAGCTAAGTAAATCAGCTAGTTAAGTAAATCGCTACATTCCTCTGCTAAACAAGCTTCCTGCAGGCTCTCATGTTACACGAAACGGTGCTGAAAGGATTCTCTTTGTCCCAGTGTAATCTCCTTCATCTGAATGTTAAAAGCTGAGCTTGGGACCTGTCACAATTCACAGCACTTGACTGTTTATCTGCTAATCACTCACTAAACACACCTATATCCCTGGCACAGCCGCGAACCTGCGCCGATTTACTGAGCTCCCCCACATCCCCGTAGGCCAACCATGGATAAATCTAAGAAACATTTCTGAAGAAAACCAAACGTTTAATGATACATTGGTAGATTCATTTGCTTTTGAATCATTTCGTGCTGCTGATGAACTTATGGGGTTTGCTGTTTAATGCATGCAGCCCTTTAGCACTGACTTTGACTCTTCAGGAAGCTGTTCTCCTATTCAAAATATATGAAAGGAGTCCTACTAGTTTATAATGTAAGATTAAAAATAACAGTTTTTACTGACTGAACAAGAGCTGCAGCTAAATCATAATGAAGTTATACATAGCATTAAGGTAAAAGACGATATATGCAGTGTTACCTTCATTTTAGATGTCAAAAGGGTTTTGTGGCTCCTTTTTGTGCGGGAAATGGGTCCAAATGGCTCTTTGAGTGTTAAAGGTTGCCGACCCCTGGGCTAAGGTAACTATGGAGTTCTCACTATCACACACATGCCCACACGTTTGGCCACTGCATTCCCGTACTGTGGTCTTATTCCGTTTGAGCGCAAGGGACTTTGGACCGATTCCTGACCTGAACATCAAAAATGGGCTGAGTCATGGGATTCTGTTGCTTCTGTGAAAGTGCCTGGAGCATTTGCACAAACTCAGAGTGATAAATGCATCTCTCTAACATACTTTTGGCAAATGCGATTTGTACAAGTTGGGACAAACTAGTTCAACTTGAGCAGTTTTTGTTCTTGCTGTAGCATTTACTGGAAGAAGGATGGAAGCATCTTCCTCTCACACATTCCACTTTAGCCATCTTGAGTTTTCTGGCAGCATTTCAGATTTGTGCAAACTACAGGCTCTGCAATTTCTGCAATTTGCATGATGTGAACAAATTTAGGCAATTGTGTAAATATGCAGAGTGGAAGCCCAGATTTTGTGCAAATTTCTCTGGCATTTTTTTTAAAGGCAAATGACAGCCTGTTTTAAAAACGGAAGTCTGCATGCAGGCTTGAGTTAACATCTGATTGACTCAGTGCCAGCACAGGGTTGAAGACACAGGATTAGTGAGGCCAAGTTAAAAAAAAATCTATCAGATTTCCCCTCTTATCAGATTCCTCACACATTCATATACAGGCACCCAGGGACCCCAGTCATGCTGGACTTGAACCACAGACCTTTCAAGAGCTGAGTCATCACATCTTTTTTGAAAACCACATCTCCTTGGGGGCTGCAAGTTACTTTGAGGATTTTTGCTTTGTTACCTTCCTTCCAGTTACAGCTAAGCCTGCTCTTTCCTCTCCCAAATCAACTTGTCCTTCCTGTCACCAGACTGTGGCTTTGTATGTGCACTCCATAATTTCTGTTTCTCTGCTGTGCCTTTTCCTGTTCCCATGAGGCTTCCTTGACTTTGTAGGCATTTTCCTGATCCCTGACCATTCCAGTCTTGGTTTCTGCTTCTCTCCTTAGGCTGTCTGGGAATGATTGTCTGTGAACTGAATGGGGCCTAACCAATGACTTTGCCTCACCCATTTCTTGCAGGGAACTGCTTGGATTCTCTCCTGTGCAGACATTAATAGACCATGACTGCTCGGCCTGGGATTACAACTTATTGCAGGTTTATCAGCCAACAAAAAAGGGAAATAGTAAGGTTCGATTTACCTTCTCCAGTTGGCTATGTAATGCAAATGAATGGTTAAGGAGGGTTCTTCTTTTATTCATTTCAGCAGTAATTGTTTCACACTGGTGCTGGAGTTCACTGCACTTGGGGAGAATGGAGTCCACAGCATAATGCCTATTTTGTATGAACTGGTCACCGCTAGAAATCAGGCTGCTGGCCTTTTGCAGATCTTCCTAAAGAAAGTGATAGATGATGGATAAGATAGAGAAACATAAGTTGCAGCATAATCGCTTTACAAACATGCAGGTCTCTGGAAAAACATGGCCTACAGAGAAACCTCAAATCTTTACATGTGATTTTCCTTCAAAGTTGGCAAGATCTTTCAGTATGTGCTCCACATGTGAACAGCTATTTCCCACTTCTGTGAAACGAGATAATCTCTCAGACACACTATCCAGAGCTGTTTTGACCTAAAATGAAAGAGAATTGGACATCAGTGAAGGCTTGAGTGGGAATAAACAATAGTTTTCAGATAACAAATTTTGATTTACTAGTTTCACAGTCCATCAATTAAATAACAAGGCCCTAGCTCTACTAATCACAACAATATAATAAAGCTGCCAGGTTGACTATTTTCTCAGGCACTGGATCTGAAAAGGCTGCCTCACTTAGGAAGCTTTCTCTTTTATAGCTCTTTGGGTTTAAAACAGTTTTATTCATAAAATATATTTCAAACATTTATCATGTTATTCTGTTAAGCCACCTTTCACCAGCTTAGAACCTTCCAGATGCCCTGGGCTACACGCCTCAGCTTCTCTAACCAGCACATACACTGACTGTGCTGGCAGTGAACGATTGGGATATTCACTGGTTGGAGTCCAGTGCTACAGTGCATGATAATGGATTGTGCTGGCTGGGGACAATGGGAGTAGTAGTCTAACACACCTGGGAGCACCAAGTTGAGTAAGGTGGTAAACCAAAACTGAGAGGTTGTGGGGTGCTTATTTCAATCACCCTTAAATTTTGAGCCCTAATTCATATACTTTCAGTTGTATTGCATTAGATATATTTCTGAATTGTTTAAAATACTACTTGTATAACATTGACTTAAGACTTATTATTTCTGTCAATTCACTCTTGACAAATAAAATATTTAATGGATACTTTATGGATGATCAAAACCATAACTGATCAATCCTTTGTCACAGTATTAAGTACAACAAAGCAAATTTAAAGTGAAAAGTCGAGGAACAAAATGCAAAAATAGAACAAAGTAATAAAATACTCAAGAGTATTACAGAACGCTGAATGGTGTTGATGCTAAATAACTAAAATGTCATATACATCAAAAGTCATCACCTCTTTGAAATCAAGTTCAAAGTGCCTAAGTTGTAAGCACTGCTCAAGCTTCTGCTGGTGTTTTAACCAAAAATCATCAAAGGCTGTTTCTGTTTCATATAGTTGATCTAGAAGCCTTTAGAAAAAGGGGGAAAAGACAATAACTGTATCTAGTACACTGAAACAAAACAGTCCTCCTTCTTTGAGATATAGCTGATATTTTAATGCAAAAAATGTCTATACAATAATACCTTTCCGAACTATTACATTAAGTGGTTCAAGGTGGAAGAACATACATATGCTAAAGGAGAATATGAAACATTAGACTGTAATAGTCTAGTGCAGGGGTCAGCAACCCGTGGCTCCGGAGCAGCATGTGGCTCTCTCATCCCTCCACTGCGGCTCCCTGTTGCTCAAAATATGTGCCATGACCGCCAATGTGCGACAGCCACCAGCACGCGATTTACTGAGCTTTTCGATCCCCGGTAGGCCAACCATGGATAAAACCAAGAAAAGAAAAGTTTCAGAAGAAAACAGAACCTTTAATGGTAGGTGGGCAGATTCATTTGCTTTCTCTGCTGATGAGACTGGTTGACCAGTATGCTTAATATGTGGTGAGAAATTGGCAAACAAAAAAAGTCGAATGTTGCAAGACATTTCCAGAATAAACACACAGCCTTTGCTGAAAAATATCCGGATGGAGAGGAGAGAGAAAAAGCCATTTCGGAACTGATGCGGAAGGTTGATCTGAGCAAAAATAATTTCAAGACGTGGATTAAGTCTGCAAATTCAACTACATATGCTAGTTTTGTGGCCACTCAGGAAATAGTCAGGCACGGGAAGCCGTTCATGGATGGAGGTTATAGAAAAGAATCATTCATTGATTTCATAAATGCAACACACTATCTTTTTTTATACATAGCATAAAGGTAAAAAACGATATATGCAGTGTTATCTTCATTTTAGAGTCAAAAGGGTTTTGTGGCTCCCTGTGTTTCCTTTTCTGCGGGAAACGGGTCCAAATGGCTCTTCGAGTGTTTAAGGTTGCTGACCCCTGGTCTAGTTGGACCATTGATCTGACATTATCTGATCTGATAAAGCAGCTTTTTATAACTTACATTTTGTCTAAAAGCCTGATTTTAGACAACCCTTGTCTGGTCAGGTCATTCTGGCTGGGAATGTCCTACACATGGATGGCACTAGGTGACGGAAGACTCTTTTAGGCAGCCTTCACGAAGTGAGAAAAAGCACACGAGCAGCTGCTGATGCATGTTGAGAGCAACTTCCCCAGCAGAAATTTATTGCTGTTGTTACACTGCATTAAGTATTCTCCCTGTGAAGGAGCACTCTCCATAATGCCCTGTCCTTAACAGACTTGCTCAGCTTATACAACTTCAGGGCTGTGGAAGTGACTCATCTCATATTTGGTCATCTTCTTCTGCCTTCGACTTTCCCTAGCCTTGTTGTCTTCCTTGTCTTGCCTCCTTGTGATGCCCTCTAAGCTCAACAGCCTCACCTCACTGTTCTCATGCTTATTTCAAGGGAACGTTCTGACTGGATTTGCCCCAAGACCCGTTCATCTTTCTGTCAGTCCAAAGTATTCACTGAGTTCCCCTCCAGCACCATGTTTCAAACACATCAATTTTCTTCACTTTCCAGCTTTCACACCATACGTAATGATCGGGAATAAAATAACGTGGATGATCCTGGCCTTGGTCTGCAATGAACATCTTACATCTTTTTCTATTTTCTTGGCTTCAGATTTTCTTTGAATTGATGATTGAACCAATTGAACCAATCATCAATTGAGCAGAGATATGCAAAACCTTTCACAATTTCAATTCTTCATGGTTCAGAGTAAACTTGTGTAATTCTTCTGTTGTCACGAATTTTGTTTTCCTAATACTCAGCTACAGTCTTGTTTTTGCACTTTCTTCTTTTGCTTTCATCATTTCAGTTCATTGCTGTTTTCTGGCAGTAATCTCCTTATCACCTGTATAACTTAAATTACTGACATATCTTTGGCCAATTCTCACTTCTTCCTCTGATCCTAACTGTGCTTTCTTTATGCAAACAGAATGAACAGACAGGGAGATAACATATGTCCTTGTCTGGCACCTTTGCCTATAGAAGACCATTCTGTTTTTCCACACTCTATTCTAGTAATAGCTCCTTGCCCATGATACAGGTCACACATTACAACAATCAAGTACTGAGGCACATCCATTTTTCTTATAGCTTCCTGGGCTCCACACAGTCAAAGGCCTTGCTATGTTCTATAAAGCATAGATTGAACTTCTTTTGAAATTCTCTGTTGCACTTTATTAGGGGATGTCTGATAGTGAGTGCCTCTTTCTTTTCAGAAGGATTTTTAGGAAACAATTTAGGACAAAGCAAATCTGTCTTGCCATATATAACTGTAAGGACTGTGGATGCCACCATGCAGCAGAGAACTTTTTATTAATTAAGATATCCACTGTATGTTTGAGGCTTGGCGAATGGGGCGGCATAGAAATTTTCTAAATAAATAAATAAAAATAAATAAAAATGTACAACCTTCCTGATGTATGGAAGACTCAGCTCCCTTCAGAGGGCACTTTACACCACTAAAACTCTCAGACCAGATCAGACCTGGTTCACACAACATGCCTGGACTATTTCACCCACAATGATCTGTAGTGTACTTGTACACATTTTGACTGGGAAGCCCCTGATTGCACCACTTTGTGGGCCTGGTCCTTGTAGGTTACTTGGGGTTAAAAAATCCACACTCTGCACTAGGTGCTAAGTGAGGGTTGCTTAACCCTCGAATAGTGCACCATGACTAAGCTCAGATGACATAGTGCAACGGCCCAATCGGCCTCACCAGAGGCTGCACAATCAAAATGCTACCTGTATGCCACTGGGTTGTGCAAACAGGCCCACTGGGTCAGTTTCACCGTTCCTTGCCAGATCAGTTTTGTTTTCAACATACAATTCCTCTTGGGTCTGTGCGAGAGCTGTGGATGGCCTTTTTATTTTTCTGAGGTGGATACAACATGGCTAAATGGATAAAAACAGCTATCCCACTATGGGAACGTTTATTGTGCTTTCATAAAGGCATCAAAATAAGCATGTGACAATTCACCTGCTGATGGCATATTCAATTGTACTTTATAGCAGAACAAGCATACAAAACCACTGCTGTAAATACTATGTTGAGCTCACCTTTCCACAGTAATTTGATTTTCCATTTGATCTGGGTTCATTTTGTACTCTTGATTTTCAAGAACTGGTTTTCTAATACTGAGGAGAATATCCTGGCCTTCTGTTAATACTATCTTCAAATCCTCCTACAAGAAGAAATGTAACATTTGAATTGTGCTTTTATGAGAATTGAGCTTAGAAGAGGGCATTACCATCAATTTTGTCAAATCTGAAAACAGAGGACAGTACTGTACAGAAGTACCATCTAAATAATCAGAACCAAACCTTGTTTTAAAGGGATTAGGCTACTCTAGCCCTGCCTTGCTCTCCCCAGCTGTTTTTTGTGTGCATTTGTTCAGCAAAATAGTTGAATAGTTTGATCCTAAAACACCACCTTTCCTGAAACCCCAGAAAACTCTGAAGATAGCCCTGGGAATTCTGGACAACAGGTAGCTCTGAAATAGGCATCTCTCCCAGCAGGCCCTAGGGAACAGAACTACCATGAATCCCACCCCAAGCAAGCCCTGACTTTCTTTTTAAATTCAGTTAGTCCTAAAATCATATTAAAATTAATTCTCCCTTGTTTAATGGTTAATTAAACATATTGTGTAAATTAAATTAAATAAATATATTGCAAACACTTTAATTTACAATATGGAAATTTAGTTCATCGCACATCCCCCAGGTTCTATGTCAAAGTCCTCATGCAGCCCTCAAAGTACGAAAAGTTGGACCTCACAGATCTAGATGTTTAGATTTAGAAAATTTAAGGATCCTTGCATGGTGGGTGATTACAGAAGTTTTTGGTATTAAAAAAAGGAATGAATCCTAAGTGATGGAGTACATTTGGCACTGGTATTCAGTAGTAGGGCCAAGAAAGCACTGTTGATGGACCTACACAATAAAATTATCTTAAATATTGCTAAACCAAGCCCCTACATAGCCAGCGTAAGCCACACACCTTCATTTTGCCTTTGCTTTCAGTATGTGCTGCAAGGAGGGCACTGGTAGACTGTACATCATTTGGCAACTCCGTTTCTGCTAGTTCAGCCCCAAACGATCGGAGAGTTTGAGCTTTCTCCTTAACCATTCGAGCAAAGTTCTCTATAGCCTTTAGGATTACAAAGTCATTACACATTAACCCCCAAGAGTCACATAAGTATTCATACAACCATAAATAAAGTGATCAGTCATTTATAAAAGAACTAAAAATGTTGCTATAAAAGTAAATGTCAAAATGTGAAGATGATAAAAAAAATCCAACATTAGCTGCACGTTTTTGGATTCTCATTAGGAACTTTTCAATATATTGATGAGTTAAAGCTTTATACCTAATTTTAAGACAGTTTTTAAATCTCTCAGATGATATCAGAAAAGATATTTTTAACAACATTCCGTAGATTTTCAAGCTCTGAAATCATCACTCCCGAATTCGTTAGCAACGGTATTTGTTTGAGATGGCCAAGTTCTTCTGAGACATCTTCTCATACATGCTATTTCAATTTGTATTCATAAGCCCATGCTATTAGTCACAGGCTGTACAACAGAAGGGTTCATTGATAGAAACAGTCTGAAAAAAAGATGACTTACAGTGCGATGTGTCAGCCACCTGTTGTGGCAGTAATCCAGGGTGCCACCAAGATCTTCTGTTAGCTGGGATCTATCAATGTAGTTATTTAATTCTGTCAATGAGCTCAGCATTATGATCTACAACACAGAAGCAACAGCATAAAATGGATAAAGTTTGGGTTCTTTTAGGACTTTTGTTTTGATGACTTCTGCAAATAGTGGAATTTCAGTAAGACCATGAAATGATGCATGACATCTGTGGATGCTCTTTCCTTTTTTTTTTTTTTATAACACAGAACTGTTTAAGTATCTGTTTAATGCTTAACGCATTACTAATCAGTTGTAGTACCTTGATAATAGAACATACGATAGCTCATTACCCAAACTTTTAATAGAAGACATTATATTTGCACTCATGCTGGACATGGAAATTTGTACTTTGTGACTACTGTTACCAAGCAACAGCAGAGGATAGAGAAAGCCTGTGTTCCCCCGGCAGGCAAACTTAGATCAGCCAAGGGCAATGGTTTGATGAATGCTAGTGATTCACATTTTCACACACTGTTGGGAATTCCCATATAGGTAAATGAGGCCCTTCATGCCCAGGCAGTTCTCTGCAAGATCCTTCGGCAATGGCGAAGAGGCTGGTGTAATGGCATGCATGGCAGCAGTGCAAGGACCATGGAATGCTGTTCCAAGGGAGACTTTGGCTGTAATTTATTGTTTTATCTTATGCCACATTGGGAATCTAGGAATTGAAGAATGGGGCATAAAGCCCCGGAGTAGCTAATTAATGACACGAATACTTCCTGCCAGGTTGCTGCTTGCCAATGGCAGTTGAAAGAACTCTCACCGCCCTCTTGGTCATTTCTGACACATGGCCATGGCATAGACTCCACCAGGTCCATGGTGCAGTTATCAACAGAGAGGCAGTTCAGGGTAGGTGGTGGTTACAGTCTTAAGACTGAGACTTGATAAATCCAAGCTCTAGTCACCTCTCAGTTAGTAAGCTCACTGGGTGACTCTGAGCCAGTCACTCACTGTTAGCTCAGCCAACCTCACAGGGTTGTTGTGAGGATCAAGTGCAGAGGAGGAGGAGGAGGAGGATATAAGATGCCCGGGGTTCTTTGCAGGAAAAGAGCTAGGATATAAATATAATTTGTAAGTAAAAATAATATTACAACATGCTACCATATAAATAAATAGATTTTAATTAAGATTGAGAACAAACAGTTCAGTCAGGATTAAAATTGCACTGCGTTCAGTGGAAATTATTCCCAAGTAAGCCTGTGCAAGTAAATCAAGTAAAAAAATCAAGATATGAACAGGGAGACATAGGAGTCCTCCGGTCCCAATGATGGAGAGTCTTGGCACAGGGAGAAGGCAGGCAAATGAGGCAAGGAGGGCAGATGGAATGCCAGAACCAGCACCCTGTGCTCTTCTGGCTGGTAGCCCAGGTCATCATAACAATGGATCTGGGGACTGGCAGGTCCTCTTTCTTCCTCAGGCTGGCGACAGGAACCTGGAGTGCTCTCTAGACCAGAGGCTGGAGGCATGAGGCGGTGCAGGTGAGTAGCCACCAGCCCAAATGGTGAAGGCCTGGTGGCCCAACAATGGCATCATGATCAGCTGCTCCTGACGCAGGAAGAGGAGCACGCTCAACAGCAAGACTATCGATGGTGGGCAAGCTGGGATGTGGGGTGGCGAGTCCCTGATCTCTTCCTTGGACAATTACTGCATCCCAGTCAGGTCCGTCACCGGGATGGGATGGGCATCACTGTAGGTGCAGATGCAGCTGCAGTTGGTGCTAGTGGAGAAGGTGCCTAGGCTGGTTTTTTTAAATCTTCCCTGCATTTGCCATCTTTTTGGCCTTTCTGCCCAACTTCCATGCCTGATGGGCTTTCTCCATGCACTCAGACGTGGATGGAACAGGCGGCATAGTTGAAGGGGCCCCTGCAGCTGCAGATGGAGGGTGTGAAGGTGGAACTGCCTGGCGGGTAGCTGAGCATTCATGGGCGTGGCGCCAGATTTCAGCCTGAAGTTACCCTTGCTTGGTTTTTCCAGGCGGGCTTAGTGAAAGGCCGGCAGTGTGAGCAGGCTTGCATATGGTGCTCCTCCCCGAAGCAGAAGAGGCAGAGAGAGGACCCGTCTCTGCGAGGGAGATGGCTCCCATAGCAGACGTGCTCCCCCAAAGTCCCCTTGAGTGCCACTGGGAGAAGGTATTAGAAAGAAATGTGAATGTTTGAGAGTAATAGGTTGATCACAGGAGAGGTCTACTTTTTCGTTTTGCTTTGTTTTTGGATAAAAGTACTAATAGCAAAGTAGGGATGAAAGAGAAATTCAAGAAGATAGCAAGAGCAAGTGAACAAGAGATACATGAAGAAAAATGGAGGAGAAACCTGGAAAAGGCTAAGAATAATATAAGAAGCAAAGCCCCAATGCACCCACAATGGTGAAGAGAACTAGAGGAAAGGGAGAACTTATTTTAGATATGCCAAAGGGAGGGATTCCTGCCAGAATGAGTCTAGCTTGGAAATCTTCCCAAGCACAGGCCCTGTGCAGGTGCAGAGCCCATATATATGATACACAGAGACGACGACAAAGAACTGTTTGCATGCTGGCAACAGAAGATATAGTCAATATTTGTTACCAAACCACATTTTTGTTTCATACTAAATAGCATATTTTGTTCAGTTGCTATAGGTTCAGGGACTTTGCTGGCTCTTCTGTTACTATTTGGGGAACCCTCTCCTTAGTACTTGCCTTATATCTGAATTAGACTATTTGTCCGTGTACTGATAATGACTGACAGGGATGTCGCAGGATTCCAGGCAGGATCCCTTCCTAGCTCCTGACGATATCAAGGAAGGAGCTGGCAACCTTGTGTGTAAGCAGCTAGTCTGCCATGTAGCTCTTCCATAAAGCTACAGCCAGAACAAAGTAAATACTGGATGAAACACTATGTATATTGTTTAAAGACATCATTTGTCTATAAAAATGTCCGTATATATATTTCTCCTATTAAAATATGTGAGTTGTAGATAAAAATAAATAGAGCAAGAAGCAACATAATAAAATTGTACTGGTTATTGTTCCAGTATGCAGTAACCCAAAAGGGCAAATTACAAATGAAGAAAATGAGTTAAGCACTAACCGGTAGCTTCATCTTATAGTCATCTCTACGGAATTTCAATGCAATGTCAAAAAGTGTTTTTTGAAGAAATCCCGTAGGGCGCAAAACAAGAACTAGCTGCAGGTTTCCTGGAAATGATGCCTGCAAAAATTGTTAAATAGGTTAATGTCATCATAAAATTATGTTATTGTTTAGAAACATTTATTAGTAATTAATCCCAAAACAAGTCATCTGAAAACACTTCACATTAAGAAACACAGATCGGATCAATACTTCAATTTACACAGCACACAGTTTGTACTACCTAAACCCTAACTCCAGTTTGACCTTCCACTCATATAAGTAAAGCATGGCTTACAGGGGTTTGTCTGCTTTCATTCCTATGGCAGAGGGAAAATAATTACAACCTTTGCCTCCTAATTCAGCTATAATGTCAACAACATATTTAACACAAGCCATGGTTTTTGGTTTCTTATCCTGGTTCTCCAGCTTATTACAGGCTATGGTTATCGATTCAAGGTATTGCACTAAATCACAGAGAAACCTCTTTGGTTATGATTTACATGCTACCTGAATTGAATCCCTATTTTATAACTGTGTTTCTAATAATGATTCATACTAACACTGAAAGAACTGAAATACTGACACTAATAATTACTGCAAATGAAAATGAAAAGCCCGACAGTGCATTAAAATAAGTTTAGCACTCTGTGGCAATATAACACTGTGAAATAATTTATTTGAATGTTTTAGTGATTTTGCTGACCCTTTACAGTTGTTTGTGTTTTTTTTTTTTTTTTTTGCTTTTTATTTCAGTCAAATTTTTCTATGAGTCATCATGGAGAGAGCCCTCAGGTTATTTGCCACTGAAGGGAGTTCGAGATTAATCATAACATTAACTGAAACAGACATTTTCTAAGTCCTTCTGAATGTAAAACCTGATCAGACTTATTACAAGATCAATTACAATTTTCTGTTGGCTCCAGTGAAAATTTACCTGGTTATTAAGCAACTGCTCAGAGCATTTGTTTTATACCCATGCTACCCCTTTGGCTCTTGACCATTCCTGAAGGTGATTTGCAGATAAGGTAGCACAAACCCATATACTAATTTAAAATATATTCAGAGTTGATTTAATATAGAAATACTGCAGTATAAATCACCTTCATGTCTGAGATGAAAAACCGAGGCTGTACAATGAGCAGTATCAACTGGTGTTGTTTAGCATAGTCAAAGTATTAGAATGTTTTGGCCAAATCCTTCCTTTGTGCAAGTGCTTGTTCATTACACTTTTGCGGCCACAAATGCAACTTTAGTTGAATTCTCTTCCCTTGTTCATAATGCCATTTGTGTTAATGGAATAGCATAGTTGGATACTGCTCAGAGTATGTAGGTGTGTCTGTATTTTGCAGAGTTTTGGAAACTGGAAAGAAACCAGTCATGGCTGCAGTAAAGGCTCTTTAAAGCAACAGAGGACAGATCAGATGACCAGATTCTGTGCTAACTTTGCTTACGGGAGATTCACAATGATTTTCTGTTTCTGCTGCCTGTTTGCCTCACTACACCAAGCTCTAAAGTACCAAGAGCTGGGTCAGGCAGGCAATAAATGGAAGCTCCAACTGGACCAGATACAGAATGCAGGAGAGCTCTTTGCAGACCCACACTTAAGGACTAGAACTTTACAAGGTGTAGCACATCTCTTCAGAACATGAATGCACAGAGACTGCTGCACATGTACACACATGTACATCTGAACTATCCATACCAATCTGCCTTGCTGCTGACCATTTAAAGTGATTCTTAGCATGAGGAAAGTGCTAGTCTTGTATATGCCATTTGCAGCCACTTTTAGAAACATGTGCAATGACTAGCCAATATTCTACTCCTTGAGCTGGCTAGATTAATAGTATCCTACAATTTCCTGTAGCTGGAGAGAGAAACTCTGGTTCCTTGGCCTTGTAGTCCCTGCATTGGCCACTAAACTGCAGAAAACTCACGGTTCATGTCATTTCAGACAAAACATAGGCCCATGGAAGACAACCCAATATTGATCATTTTACAAGATGATTGCAAAGATATCAACAAAAAAGCAGAAGAAAGAAAACAATTGTACAAATCACTTTAGAGCAGGCATGGGAAACTTGTAGGCCAAAATACTCGAAGAGCTACAACTCTTATAGCCTGAAGTACCTGATCCTGACTAATCTTGTGATGCTAAGTGGGGTTCAGGCCTGGTTAGAATCTGGATGGGAGACTTAAGTCCTGCATTGAGCAGGAGGTTGGACCCGATGGCCTTTTAGGCGCCTTCCAACTGTTTGATATTATTCCAACTGTCCCTCATCATTGGCCATCCTGGCTAGAACTGACTGACTGAAGGTGCAGGCCAAAGATATGGAGAACCACAAGTTGCCCATGCTTCGTCCTGTGCCCAGAAGAAATGTATCCATTAAGTTGCAATCATGCGCCAAAGGTGAGACAAGACACTGCAATCCACCAAGCACCTGTCAGGAGTAATGAGCAACCAACTCATCCACCATAGTTCATTCTCAGGGTGACAGTGCAGTGTGTGAGATCACTCAGTGTATGCAAGCCAAAAATATTATGCCAAATGCACTATAATGGCCTGTTCTCTTAGGATGTTATCAGAATATTTTTTTCTAAGGTAAAACACATTTTATCTTGTATTATTTCATGGAGTTGCTTGAGGCAAAGACACTGTTTCTGGAAAATTCATTAAAGTGTGTGCTACGTTAGCATACCAGTGAAACTTTCCACATTGTATAACACAACCAAGCAAATAAGCAACTGATGGGTTCCAAAATAAGTCGCCTGGCCAGGGCGACTTATTTTATATTGTTATTTCTTGTATTTTAATTTTATGTTGTGAGCTGTCCCCAGGCTTTGGCGAATGGGGCTGCATGGAAATGTTTTAATAAATAAATAAATAAATAAATAAAATACTTATAGTAAGCACTGCCACCTGGAAGGTAATGGTTTCCATTTCCTTCACAGCTGGATCTTTTAGAGTTCATCAAGCTACATTTCTCCAAGGAGTTAATGTTTTGTATCTAGTCTGCTACTTCCTAAGGCTTTAAAAGTCAATCTACTATGAGTTACTTTTTGCTAAACCGGGACAACAAATCAGCTAAAACCCAGGCAGAAACCAAACTACCCACAAGGAAAACAGAACCCCACCATCAAGGGAAGAAAGAAGTGCTGATGACTAAGTTCACAAACACCAGCTACCACTCTCCACAGTGAATATTTAAAGAGCTACCACTTGCCATATAGTATCCCCTTTTTCCAACAGATAAATTAGGGAATGCATAACTGGATGTCTAACAACTCTCCTGCACTGCTAGCACTACCTTCTTGCCATCCCATAGTATGCATTAGTTCTACCAGGGCTGGATGAAGGGCCACATGTCCAGATGCCACAGCCCACGGGGCCCCTCAGCAACCACCAGAGGGCAGATTATGAGGGTGGGTCCCTGAAAAAGGAACCATGTCCGTACCCAGCATGGGTGCTCAAATACTGGGACTGACACCTGTTTCACACATCATCTCATTTTGTTTCCACCTGCTTTATTTATTATTTATTTATTTATTAAAGCATTTCTATGGTATGAACCTCTGCTTTAACCCTCTGGGTATGACCGGCCTGGGGCCAGAGGCACTCTCGTGGAAATGATGATGAAGAATCTGGTTGGAGCTTCAGCGCCAGGCACTCTGTTGTTATAAAAGGAGGAAAAAGGGACTCTCCCACCACTGCCTTGTAAGCTAGTGTGTGCACACGTGTGCAAGGAGAGCAGAGTAACTACTGTGCTAGGGAAGTGAGAAAGGATGGCAGCGCATCGGGGAAAAAAGCAGGTGGCAGGTGTAGAATCCTCAGGGTGGCATGGAGGGCTGTCTCCACCTCTCTACTATGTACTTTGCCAAAGATCCTGGAAGAGACTGTGATGGTAAGGAAACTGTGGGGACAAGAGATGGCCCACGTGGGAAATAAAGGACAGGAAAAGGGTGCCTTCATGCATGTAACAGTGGATGACTAAAGCAGCAGTACTGGTAGCAGCAAAAACTGGAGAGATAAAACAAGGTTCTAGCTTTCTAACAGGCCTAGATGCTATTGGCCCAAGATAAGGGTCATCCCATCAGTTAAGGGATGAGGCTTAGCTGAAGCCAACTGTGGTCAGGCCATTCCTGCCAACCTGGGCATGAGGCAAGCATGGCAGCCCTCAAATGACTAAAGCTACCAGGAAAACAAAGCCTTCTTTGCTATGCTGTACCAGAGTCTGCCCCCTGGGATCCCAGCTGGTGTAGCCATTTGGTACCTGGGAAGAAAGAAAATTATGGAACAGCCCAGTGCTGGCTGAATTTCCCACAAACTGTCTGGCTGCCTGCCCCAGTCCTGTTAAGGCAGAGAGAAGAAGAAAGGGAAGTTTGAATGTGAGCAGGTCAATATATTCCATGGCTCACAAGATCAAATACTGTTCCTGTTTCCAGTGCCATTAACCTCCAGAATTAATACAGACATCGTTGTGCATATTGCCACTAGATAAAAATTCACAACCAAGAAAATTATGTGATGTTCTTGCATCACAGAAAACAAACAGTCAGCTCTGAATCTAGAAAACTGAGCGCCTCCAGAGCCTGTTCTTTGAATCAGTGTCTGAGGCACCTTTGTTGCTCCTTAAAACTAGAATGTCTTTAGCTCTAAGACAGTCTTCCTGAAATAAGTATGCAAAGGGTTCAACTTGCCCTATACTAAATCAGTAGCCGCCCAGATTTTCTGTAGATTTTTTCTGACACATGGGAAGCTTTGAGAAAGTTAAAAAAAAAACCAAGTTCTTTAAAATGATTTTAGACTTCTTTGTATTGTTTTTCTTTTTCCAGAAATAATTGTAAAGGCCATTTAAAATCACACACACACAAGAAAGAGCAGTATTTATATTTTAACGTTTTAATACAGAAATGTCCCTCAAGGCTAGCCAGAAATAAACAAAAGAAAAAAAATCCTATTTCTCTAGCAGTATACTGCTGTTTATTTTTACATTGTTAAACAAGTCTAAATAAAGCTTCTGCTGCACTGATTACATAACAAAAGAAAATACTTATCATTTCAATTCCTCTTTCTTATCACACTAGAATCTGTGTCAATTAGCCTACTCTATAAACGTACCAAGGACCTTAAGAGTTCTCTTGTAAAATACCAGTTCTGCTTTAACTAAACCTGCTTATTCATTGTTTACTGAGTATATTTTTAGATGCAAGTGACCCTGCAGGCAAAACAAACACACCTTCCCCAGCTTCTATACACAGTTAAGAATCATGATACAACCTGAAGACAAGTTTCCTAAAATCACTTAAAGGTTAGAGCCACTTGATCACTGAATATGCAGCAGCTTCTACAAAACTGAGCATTCTAGTGCTTGTTAGATGACTACATGATTATTTCTGCTTCGGTAGCTGTACCATATGCAATACTATGACCACTGTTCCTGCTCTGCACTGTTAAAATTAGAATAAAAATTCCTGCTGATTTGCCAAGGAATTTTAAAATCTTAATTATATAACAGCTCACCGCAATTCGCAATATAGAGGCTTGCACTGAAGTCCATTTGTCTTGCCTGCGGTCAATGACAACTATAAATCCAATTCCGGCATCTTGTGAACTAAGTTGGAGGAAGAAGAGGGAAGAAAAAGGGAAAAAAAAAACCTGTTATGGAAAATTATCCAAGTGGTTCTGAAACTCTCAAGCAATCTCCAAAAGTGCAAACAGTCCTTTTTCTACCGACCACTAAATTAAATATGCTGAGAAAAAGCAAGCACAATATAACATCCATTAGAAGAATGACACAATCCCAAACAAATGACATGCAGCTTCTGCTAGGAAAAAATCCAATACCTTTCTCCATAGGTAACAAGGTTTTTTTAAAAAATTAATCTACTATATAAAGATGCTTACTCTTCATTTTTTCAGTGTTTCCTTTGCTGTTTTCTCTGGTACAGTGATAATCTATCCTTTAAGCAAGGGTCAGTATTGTCCACTCCAGAATCAAATACATTATTCTTTCTTTCTTCCTCTAACATTTTCATGCTGGTGCATTGATTTTATTCCATCAATGTGTGTGTGTATATGCACGTTATTATCCCTTGAAATAACAAGATTCCAGACCCCATGCATCAATTTAATCCTAGGAATCTGACATTTCCAGTCTTCTGCATTTTCAAGAACAGATCTTTGAAGGATTATATAAACAAAGCAGAAACTCCCTATGACATAAACCAGAGAGGTGAGATAAGAGGCACTGTTTCTGAAATGGGAGTATCTATAACAGCATAATGCTAGAATCATTGGGGGAGGGAAGGATCTTTGTTTTCTTGCTCGTTCAGCTACACGTGTTACAGAGTACAAATAACGAGATCTGCTCCTGTTTTATACTGCCACATACGAACCAATTGTGTAATGCCAGCAGCTGACTGCTAGTCAACGTAATGGAAATGACAGGCAGTCTTGAGCCAGAGTGACTTGAATTTCTAATTGTTTGTGTATATATAAGTAGATTTTATTAAGCCAAATTACAATATTGTGATCAAAAACATGGGTTGCATTAATGCTAGCAATGCACATGTTTTTAATTGCACTATATATTTTTCTTGCATGCAGAAATCCCTGTACAAATCTTTCTGCATTCCTAGCATTAATACAATCCAATGTTTTTATCACGATATTGTGATTAGCTTTGGTACAGTACAGACAAATATATATGCAATCACACTCTTACATAATTCCATATGTTGCTTGCTGTAGTGGTCATATGATATAGACATTTTACCTTAATCTCTTGTTTTTAAAACAGCATTTGATATTTAAATTATTTCAGGAAAAATATATTCATATTTTCTAAAAAGACATTCACCATTTACATTAAGTCACGGTGTGCTTACACCCCTATCATTTTTTTCAGTGCACATTTGTGTTTAACACATTCATTTATTTACATGTGTCGCCCATCAAATGCCTAAGTACTACAGTGCTGGATAATATTAAACTAATGAAGATAGAACTGAGATTTAAGTTAGGAAACTAAATAAAGGCCTAAAGAAAAAAAGCAGTTATAGCAGATCTAAACTGCAGTATGTTTAGCAGTTTTATTAGACTGATTCAGTGTCAGACGATGAATAAGCCTTGATGAACCCTAGAGCTTTTATGCATTTTTCCTTGAGCTTCAATTGTAATTTTTTACTTGTTCTGCAAAATCAGGGTTGCAAATCACAGCTGGGCAAGCTGCTTTTTATCTTTTATAAAGCAAATCCGGACATATGTGTTTAAATAAATGAAATAAAATTGCAGGTTGCATTTTGCTGGACAGGAACAACTATGGATTGCTCAACCCAAACAATGAAACATGGCATGTGTGGGGAGCAGGAATGGGAAAGCCCACAGACTGGAGTGCCCTTCTGGACTAGCCACTGTTAATCGTTTTGTGTGATTAATATCAAACGTGACATTTTTACAAGGTAGAAACACGAATATTCAAAATTCCAAACTAATACTCCATGGTTTAGGACGGAAGCAGGAAGCTGAATGAATTCTATTCATCTGTCTTCACATCTGAGGATACAGAATAGATATCTATTCTGATGTTTTCAGGAAGGCAGTCTGAGGAATTAAGGCGGGTAACAGGGATGAAGGATGAAATTCTCAGCCTTAATGACAAACCGAATGTTAATAAATCACCAGATGGTATCCATTCTTGAATTCTTGAAGAGCTCATATATGAAATTGCTGCCCTTCTAATAAAAATAAGTAATTTCCCTAAGCAGCCTTTATACCAAAGGATTGGAAAATGGTCAATGTGATGTCAGTTTTTAAAAAGGGATCTGGGAAATTATAGGCCAGTAAACACAGTATCTGTTCTGAATAAACTGCTTGAAAATGTTATTAAAGACAGAATTACTAAGCACAGAGAGGGATAAGCCTGTGAAAAGAATCAGCATGGCTTCTGCAACAGTAAGTCCTGTCTCACTTACCTATTAGAGTTCTTTAAGAATGTCAGTAAGTGTGTAGACAGGAGCAATCCTGGAGACTTCTCAAAGGGTTTTGAGAGATTTTCTACCTAAAGGTTCCTGAGCAAACTTAGCAGTCAAGGAATAAAAAAGGGAGGGCTTTTATGAATCAGTAATGGTTAAGTAGAGAGTGTCAATAAATGGTAATTTCTCCCAATGGAGGGATGCAAACAGTGGGGTCCCACAGTATTCCATTCAATGTTGTTGCAGTCATAGATCAGTGTGCAGGGTTCTGTATTAGGGCCAATAACAGGAGTAAGCATGTAAGTAGCAAGTTTGCTCACAACACTAAACTATGCAGGGTGGTTAATGAAGGGGTTATGAGGATCTCCAAAGGGATCTTTCCAAACTGGGAGAATTGCCATCAAAATGGCAAATGCAGTTCTATGTAAACAGGTGTAAAGTAATGCATGTTGGGACAAAACAATCCCAGCTTGAAGGCTGATGGGAACTTAGCTAGCAATGGCTGATCAAGAAAGAGATTTGGAGGTGGGGGTGGACAGACTGGTAAAAACATCCATCTTGTGTGTGTGTCTGCTGTGAAAAGCAAACCATGTCAGGCATAATTAGGAAAGAAATAGAAAATAAAACTGCCTTGATTGTACTCCTCTTATATAAAACTTTGGTGCGGCTACACTTACAATATAGTGTACAGGTTACAAAACTTGCAAAAGACATTATTGAGTTGGGGAAAGTGCAGAAAGAGCAACTAGAACAGTGAAGGGGTTGGAGCAACTGTCCTGTGTGGAAAGGTTACGACACTGGGATTGTTTAGTTTAGGAAAAAAAGGCAAGTAAGGGAAGACATAACAGAAATGCTTAAAATTATGCATAGTGTGGAGAAGGTGGAAAGGGAGAGAAACATTTTTCTCCTTCTCTCATAATACTAGAACCCAGTGGGGCCATCCCATGAAGTTACTTGGCGGGAGATTCAGGGCAGATAAAAGGAAGCCCTTTTTCACGCAGTGCAGAGTTGAGCGATGCAATTAACTGCCTCAACAAGCAGTGATAGCCATCAATCTGGGTGGCTCTAAAAAGGAGTTTAAGAAATTCATGGAGGAGAAGGCTATTAATGGCTACTAGCCTTGTTGGCTATTGCTACCTTTGCTATCAGAGGCAGATGCCTGAATGTACCAGTTGCTGAGGAAGTTGGGCAGCTGGTTCACTGTGTGAATGGTGTGCTGGACTGGGTGGACCACTGGTCAGATCCAGCATGCCTTTTCTTCTGTTCTTTACCGTAGCCCCCATGAGGGCCCTGACTTAGCCAATGCTGCCCTATCACTTGTAACCTCCACTCCCTGCCCCAGAGATCCTCATACAGATCATTTTTCCCCTGCCTCCCTTAAGCAGTAATGCAAGATGGCTTCTGTCTCTGAGTCTGTTTGTCTGTCTCTCTGTCTCTCTTTCTTTGTGTGGGTGTGTTTGTGTGTGTACCTGTTCATCCACTCTTCTGCTGTAAACAAAATAACATCATGGTTATTTAGCTCTAACCTGACTTTCATTCTATGTAAGATTTGGATGAGGGTCAGGATTAAAGAAAAATAACCCTAAAATAACTGTATAATGAAACAATATGGTTTAACATAAGATGGATTGGCATTTGTGCTTTAACTGATGTATAAAGGAATGTCCGCAAGTTATCATGAAGGCCACTGCATAGATAACATATTATCCATAAATTCATGGAAGGTAGTTCTATTTAATTAGTTGTTACATCTAACTTCTACCTTTCCTCCAAGGAGCCAAAAGCAAGGCACATGCTCCTCTTCCTCTCCATTTAATCTCACGGTACCCTTGAGAAGTGAATTAAGCCCAAGACACCCGGGGAGCTTCATGCATAAGTGGGCAGCAGAATTTTCCAAGTTTTTGTCCAACATTGCAATCTTACATAGAGTACACTCTTTTCTACTTGCCATTCTGACTAGACTATCAATATTCTATAGGTTTCTATGCCAGCAACATGTATATTGCTCCAATTTTGAGATAAATGCATACCCACAATGCTTGAGGTACCCTATAAAGTAGTTAGCAAATGGATTACTCCATCCCAGGAATTATGAAACTTAGCCCATAAACCTAAATATCTATTCACACCCAAGGTAACATTTTAGCCATCTAAGATGTGCTCAGCTATAGGACATATAGTGAAAGAACATCTGACCCATGCTAGAAGTTGCTAGGGAACCAGGATGCTAATGTTTAGGTCATCCAGTCACTGAAATTGCTAAACTTTTCATTTACAGGTCACAGAAACATATTATTTGTCTTTTGTTTGGAAGACTGACATATGATCTCATGTACTTAGGGGAAAGGGTGGGAATTATAAAGCATAGGATTTTAGAAAGTTACTTTCCCAAAGGGGGTATGAAAGCAATTATCTGTTAGTCATTTAGAAGGTCAATGCATTCTCCATGGTAAGGATGGTGGTAAATTCTATCTAAATCATGTGGCAAGTATTTCTTCTGGTATGAGTTTACCAGCAACAGCTCCTCCTTTTCTGTAGCATTTTCTCTTGTATAGCTGCAAAATACTTTAAGTAATTTTGCAAAGTTTGTATTTTCTTAAGTTAATAAAGTTACCAGTTAAAATATTTATTCTGATAG